GTTGGGAGGCCAGGATGGGGATGGCATTGATCGTAGGCGACGGGGATTATCTTTGTTCTGAAGGGAAACTTGACAGGGGGTGGCAGTCCTGTCCTTGAGCACTCGGGTTTGGAGTCAGAGGCGTAATCAGTGCTGCAGGGGTGGTGTTTACAGGAATGCCATCCAAGAAAGTAAGCACGTTGGGCAGTCTATTAACATGGTGAGTTCAAGCAGAACTTAAGGCTGCCGGATCCAATGTGTGTATGTACGTCTTTCTCCTACCCTCTACAAACGTCCTTTTCTTTTTGAGATGTCTGGGCAGCCATTGTTGTCCACATCACAAAACACTTGCACCAAACCTGGTTCCAGGCGCACAATCAATGAATCATACTGTTTCTCCCATTCGGATCAGTTGTTCCACACTGAGAAGCGCCCCAGACAAAGCAGGAAATGACTAACAGAAGCTAGTCTTATCTGACCGCTGTTGGTAGCGGCCTCAGTTTGCACGGTTGCAGAGGCCCATCCCTTGACTTTTGGCAAGTCCAAAGCTGTGTGGTATCCACGTCTATGTTCATGGCTCACGTGTAGTTTGCTGGATCACATCCCTACCTGACACAGCGCCGCCCCCAGGCGATGATTTCCTTTGTACAGCAAGTAGCAGTTGCCGCACGAAACATGCAGCCCCCTACAGCAAGGATGTTGCAATGCCTTTGCATTACAGAATATGATGCAGTGCCCTCTGCCCCTTGCCAGGTGCTAGAGGTGCTGCCAGTCAACCTGCCCAGTGGGTTCCAAGATAGTGGCCTCAACCACCTGGCACGCGTGGGCTTCAGCAAGCTCTCCACCGACGTGGGCAAACTGGGCGAGGAGGCGGACTCCTGGGGTTATGGTTCCACAGGCAAACGCTCGCTCGCTGGGCGCTACGAAAGCTTTGGGCAGCCCTTCAATGTGGGCGACCAGGTCACGTGTTTCCTGGACCTCAGCGGAGACAAGGGACGCATTTCCTTTGCCAAGAATTCGATGCCGATGATGCTGGCATATCAGATCGACCTGCCGGGAGGGCTGGGGGATGCCATCTTCCCCCACGTGCTGCTGAAGAATGTTTCGGTGAGGTTGGACTTTGAGGGGAAGGAGTTCGCAGATGTTGTGGGGGCCAGCATTGATGACTACCTGCCGTGGAAGGTAAGTGCTGTTGGTGCGTGGGCTGGGGGCTGTAGTGGTGGGCTCGCATTTCACGCAGTTTGAGCTTGGCCCAGTTGTTGTCGCTGTCTGACGCTACCAGCACTTGCAGATGGCGTGAAGCCATGGGTGATGCAGTGCGGTGGTGGGTTGCGGTGGTGGGGTATCAATGCACCTCGTATCGGTGCCATCAGTCCTGTCAGGATGCCCCAGAGGTGGTGTGGACTGTGAGGGCAGAGTTTTGGAATGTCAATTTGGCCATGGACCGATGCGCGCAAGTGCCGGAACACCCAAATGTGGTTTGGCATACTCCCGTGCAAAGTCATTGTTGTAGCAATTGCTCCAAAGGGTTATCAAGGATAGCCCGCGCGCAGAATAGTTTAGTTGAACTGGGAAAGAATGGACAGATCGGCAGGATAGTACCTTCGCAGTTTGTGTTTGGGCATTCTGTTAGGTAGGTCACGTGTGGCACTGGCTGCATCGTGCCATCTCTGGTGCCCATCCAATCAGACGGTGTCTGCTAGTGGCAAGCTACTTCCCTGCCCCAAATCTTCCCTGTGTCCAATACAAGCAGCTTGAATGGTCTATACTTGCATTATGGGACAGCAGCAAATCCACCAATCACCTTGGTCCACCTGTCTTCCATTATGATAACCATATGATGAAACAGAGCCATGTTGCCAAAAGATTAGGGGATTGTTGGCAGCTGCTCCTGCTGACAATCCCCTCATCTGGTTTGACAGCACTTGAAGAGAGCGCGGGCGCAAGTACACACAGGCTGAGCCTGCTGAGTTTTGCCTTTGTGGGTTTCTTAGCTGTGCTCGCTTGTCCAGACATTAATTTTGCTGTTGCAGAGAGAAAAACATTAGCAAAGGTTCGAAACATAAGCCAGCACAGTAGGTCATAGAATGTCGACCTTTGCTTGGTTTCAGTGCACTGCCCAGTTGAGGACGTCGAAGTTGGGATGCAGGTATCAGGGATGGTTTTATGCTGTAGGTGCTTCTCCTTTATTGAATGGTTCATGTGTAGTCATTGTCAGTCTGTCCAAAAGACACGTCTGCCACCAAACTGCTCCCTTGCAACCATACCTCATTTTTGACAGTGTTGTTGTGGAGCAAGGGAGTGACAGAGAAGCAAGGCGACCGGCGTTGACGAGTATGGCTTTGTCAATCTGAATTCCAACTAGTTGCATGCAGTGAGTGTGACAGCAAGACACGTGGTGCTGTCCATGGTACGTTTCTGAAGTCTGGAACAAATGCAACATCCCATATTCAACATTAGATTAGGAAAGCAAACAAAAACAAGTTGTGCAAAATCACACTTAGCACAGATTTCCAACGCTGCTGATATTGTCATAGTGCAGAGATAATGGTGGAGATACTACTGTGGTAACTGCAACGTTCATATGGTGACAGAGAATGTGTGATCTTGTGCCAGCTGCATCCTGCTGTTAGTTTTATGTGCTCCACGATGGCCACCTGTGCTTTCTTGAAGAGAAAGTGCCAGACGTCATCTGTCTGTGATTGATAACAGAATGCACAGTACGTGCGAGGGGCCCAGTTTCGTGTTGATGAGCCTGTAGGCATGCGGCGATTGTCCGTTTGCAATGCACACCCGCTTCACCGTGCACATTCCTAAGCCGTCGCTGACACACTAGCTTCTAAACAGGCTTTACTGTTGAAGACTTTTGTCATGGCTATGTTCTCGCTTCAGTTGCGCTGCTACTCTTTGCATCATGACGATGGATGCCTGCAACGATAACAAGAAAAACTTTAGACTTTGTTGGGCTTCTGCGGAATGGTGCTGCAATGCTTGGGAATGCTGTTGCAGCAGTTAACATGGTGTGGTGAATAATAGCGGAAAGTAGGGTGGCAAAGTCATTAAGGGTGGATGTTCTGCATCTAAAATCGGCTCTCGGTGTGATGCCTTTCATGCAATGCTGCAACATTCTTCTTTGATTTTTGAGCTTGCCAGCATCAAAGATGAATGCATAGGCAGTGGGCAGTTTGGCAGCTGGTGTGGAAACTTGCATATGGGCAACCGCATTGCGCACAATTGTATACAGCGATGTTAGCCGCCTGATTTTCATTCCATGCGCTGTTGTCTGTGGGATCGTCATATGTTCTGCGCGGATGTTGTTCGGTCCTATGTAGTGCTGCGCATTTATGCACTTGGACACCATGATTTGCGGGGTCTTGATGCACGCACTGAATGCTTGCAGCTGCACAGGGCTTGAGCTATGGAATGCTAGTTTGGCAGTTGTTGCTTCAAGGGTTGTGACAGCCTGATCTTGTATCCCACCACTGAAACCCTTGTTTTGGCCCGTTGATTTTGGTGCTGATTCAGAGGACACGTGTTACACCAGTTCATTTCTACATCAGTATCCTTGTAGTGTTGGGGTGTTGTTTTTGTGATAAATGTTCTTTTGAAGTTGTGTGAACACCATGGGTTCCATAAACCCAGTACATCGTTAGTTGTGCGATCGGAACCACAACTGGAGCGTGTGATGTAGGGTCTGTACACCTACATTTGACTGGGGCCACAGTACAAGTGCCAAACAGTCCCAATGTTTGGACCCAAAAGCTTGGTTGTGCTGCTGTGTCTATGAAAGAGTTGTCTGCTTTCTCGTAGTCACCTGTTGGGCATGGCGGACGTTGTGAGCAATTGTGAGAGGGATTTGTATCTCACATCTTCTGGGCGACTATTTTCCAATGATAAAGCTGCTGTGTTGAGGATTATTTATGCAGCTTGGCGTTTGGCATCAAGCCTTGCTTTACATGCGTCAGACGTGTGCGATTGCGTTTCCATGGCAGTTTTTTGCAGGATAGTGCTCCAAGTTCGTTTGGCAGATTTGCATCCTTGCATGGCGTATTGGCTGTTGTGAAGCAGAAGCTGCACCTGCGCGCTGTTGCTTGCCGCAGGATCACATTTGCGCAGTCTAAACGGTGCCCTTGAAGGCGATGATTCGCATTTGTGTATTATGATAGACAGATTGATTTACTCGCATTTTTGGCCTGCTGGCGAGCCAATGTACCAGTTGATTGGTTGTTGAAGTAGGTGTTGTAGGAAAGATGTCTTGTTTGGATTTGTACAGGCATATAGGATGTGAAAGCGAAGACATAGTTGGCACCACCTAATGGAAACTAGCTCCAGTTGCTGTCACCAGTGAAGTTATTGGTTTCCGCTGCTTTAGTCATTAGCGCCAGTGTGCAATGTTTACAGTGCGAATGGCTGCCCACTGCCATTGCCATGCTTGTGTCTAGGCTAGACAGCGTCAGTTGTTGCACAGTCTGAAGTGCTGGCGCCATCCGAGTTTGGAACATCAGCCACAGGCATAGCCGATGCCTTTTCATGACTGCGTTGCGCGATCTTGCACTTTCAAAAGGACGAGATGCTAGCCTGGGGCCAGTTCTGACTCCTGTTCCCATCCGTCTGTTGATGAACTGCCGTTTTGAAGGCACTGCTTTGGAAAGCGGGCGCTTGGGTCCCCTGCTGTGGCTGCCCATCCGCGGTCGTTGTGTGTGGTTGCCGCAGCTGCATGTGCCTCGTTGACGCCGCCACTCTGGCCTCCGCTGCTCCCCCGAGTGTTGCGCATTCTAAGCTGTGGAGTGGCATGGCGTGCAGTTTGCTCTTATGGACAAGAGGTTCATTGTGAACGTTGCGCCTCAGCGACCGGTACCGTTCTCTGAATGCGAGGTGATCATGCTCGTGGGGCTTCCAGGTACGGGATGCAATGATCGCGCATGTCCAGCGATTGCTTACCTTGCTTACTTCATGTTTCCTATCTTCTTATTCTTGCATCCTTGGATAGGTGGGCAATAATGTGGTTTGGGTGTCTGTGGAGAGGGAGCTTGTGTTGGGATATAGCACCTATCTTGGCACGTGGTGCGAGTGTCGATTCCAGCGTGCACCAGACTATGGCTGTTGATCGAACTTAGTTTGCACCCAAATTCGCGATTTCATGCAGAGGTGCTGGGGGTCATCAAGGTTGCAGGTCTATACCTTTGCCCCCATGCATGGTTCGCTGGTAGGCGCTACGATGGTCATGCATGTAATGTTTCGGACTCGCGAAATTGGGGAATTTTGCCAAGAGGGCCGCTAATGCTTTGGTCATTGGCACCTGTTTCCAGAGCACAGACAGGCAATGAACTGCGCACAGGCATTGTGTGGTCTATCTTAAATTCCCTGCGGTTCTTATGGGCACATTGTTTGCATGTTTGCAATTCAGCAACTGAAAGAATGATTCCAACCTTGTCCAAGTTGTTGGAAGGCCTAGATAATGCTGATGGCGGGTAAATGTGGTCCCAGTTGAGGCTCGACCTGGTCCAGCCTGCAGATGTTCCACCAAGCACATCCCAGGGATGATCCCTGGCTTTGCGCTAGAACACAACGCGTTGTCCCTGTTTATTTTTTCCGGCTGAGGTGGGCGTGCACTTTGTTTTTGCGCGCATGGATGGGCGTGGCCATGTGCGTCTGTCTTGTTGCAGTTGCTGGGTGGTGCTAATGTGGTCAGTGAAAGCGCTCTGTTTGAAAACTCTCTGACTGCATTCGCACACGTTTTCATCGTTGGTATTGGGCAAGGTGCAGAGAACACCAAGGACGAATGTGCTTCGTATGCGCGGTCACCACTTCAGGGTGATGCGATTTTAGTACACGATTGGGGCTGGCAGGTACACTTGAATAATGTTGCCTTGCTGGGGTGAGGAATGTGGGTGAGGAATGTGGGTGTGGGGTGGGGCGGGGTGAGGGGACCGCAGCACCTGTTTAAGGGCCAACAAGTTTGTGGCTCTCTGTGGCATCTACATCAAGTGCATACCTCGGCATATGCTTGGTAGAACACCAACACTTATCGGCTGGAGTTTTTTCCCCTTATTTCGAACTCGATGGACCGTATGACCGTGCAATGCCAGAGCTCCCTTTGGGCTACGATTTGCCTCTCTTTGGACGGGGGTTGCATTCCAACAAGGGTGGATTAGGTATTCCCTCGCTGCAAAATTGGTTGCACCTCTGCACCCCTGTGTAGCCAAGGGATGCGCAGGCTGCAAAAGTAGTAAGGGCTTCTGATGTTCTTAGCAACCTTTGTTGAGCAAAGGAAAGCCACTGGGACAAGCCAGAGATAGAGAGCAGCTTGGGGAGATGAACAGTGGCTTCAGGGTTTTGGGTGGTTGCTGGTCAGCACGTGAAGGCGCGTTTTGCTGTGGGCCAAGTGCTCGGGAATTTTTGCGCAGTGTCATTTAGATTCCACAAACAGTAAAATACTCAAGAAGGCCTACTCAAGGCCATTCCAAATGAACCTGTACTGAACTGGGCATGTAATGCCCCAGAGCAGGTTGGATGGTCTGTTGAGACAACAAATTCGTTTGCTGTTCTCTTCTATTCAAGGGAAATGCGCAGGGTTGTGGAATTGAGCATGTAGTTGACCTCCTAGTCATACCGATAGTGTGTGGGAAAATCGAGAATGGTTACAGGGAGCTTGACGCTGCGCCAGCTGCAAACTGCTGTTTGCCCTAGTGGTAGCTGTGTTGTTTGAATTGGTCCCTGCTTGCGCTCCAGCACTGGAAGGCCTTGCAAAATGCCACCACACCACAATGCCACACGTTCGCACCAGTTTTCCTGAACTCTGAACTGCTGTATGTGTGGATCTGGTACATTCGCCAATCAATCTGGTGCTGGGGCTGCTACTTTGTACCTGATGGTGGCTGTGTCATGGTGCTGTTTGGTTCCATAGTGCAGTGCCGCCAGGAAATGCTAGGATGCTGCGCCACTGCACAGTGCTATTGCACAGGGCAGCGCTGTCATTCAGTACTCCTGTGTTGGTCGCTGGATGGTGCAAGTGCAGCTCCCAGTTGTTGAGCGTAGGCATCTCGGATCTTCTTCAGTGCTCGTGCGCATATTCAGCGATCCATGAGCTTGGTCCCATTCAATCCAGGACCATGGGAAATGTGGTGGCACAGGGTCTGGGGTGGTGACCTGACTGACAGAGTTGTGATTGCCTGCTTTTGGTAGCTCTTTACTGTTTTGAAGTTTCATGGCAATAGGTGCCTGTGATAGGTGCCTGTCTCGTGGCACTGGGATGAATAGTTGCTTGGGACCAAATGACAATGGGCCTATTTGGATGGGCTGACACTTGCAAGGACGTGCCAAAGTGCTCAGTGTTGTGTGAAATGAGCATCACCTTCAGAATTTGAAGGAATTGGGAACAGCTCGTGCTAAACTGTGGCAACATGAATAGGGAGTGCACACAATGGGTACAATTTAGAGCAAGCGATAATGCGTTGAGTCAAACGAACCCTTGCACAATTTTACTGGAAGAAAAGTCAGAGTATGCAGTTCCTCTGCAAATCGCCAGGCTGTCGATGCGCTCCTGATGGTGTATTGCTATATGGTTTCTTCAATGCTGCATTGCCCCCATCGCTGATTTGGCTGCCTCTACGACAGCGATGGGGTATCCAATAGTCTTTTGCATGGACACAAAAGGCGATGTATGGATCCCATCATGTGGCAAACATGGCCCTTGGGACTACGTGAACAAATAACATGCTCGGCACTCAGTTGGCATCTCTCAGTTGGCTTCTCTCAGTTGGCTTCACTTGCCGATGCGGTGTTCTTCTTGATTATTGTAGAAGCACAGTGTGTTTACAGGTTCAAATAAATCCTTGCCATCTATAACTCAGATTATGCAAACCGAAAGTTTATGCCACGTTTCTAACATGCTAGTGGGAAATGCAGCATTCAACAATCCAACATTTTATCCTCACCAGGGGCACAGATAATGTTGCCAGGTCAAAGCAGAATCTGGGACCTGCTGGTTGGAACACTGATTTGATGGGCTGGCTTCGGGTTTGTTTTGACAGGCTCTGGGAAGACGACCTGGGCCAGCAAGTTTGCTGCACGCCATCCCGAGAAGCGCTTCATTGTGCTGGGGACCAACCTGGTGATGGAGCAAATGAGGGTATGGCTTACGACGCTTGTGTGTGATACTGTGGCGTTGTGTCACATGTTTGCAATTTATCTGTGATGTGTGACTGGACATGGAGATTGTGTCTACAAGACATGTTCCAGCCGCATTACCTGCGAGTTCGAACACTGCCACTGTGAACCGCCCTGCCTTTCTCGCTGCTGTCTTGAGGCAACTTGCCGACATTGGATGTAATGTATCGCACCCTGGTGTGTCCTTGTGGTCTGGCACAGGGCGGATTCCCTTTTGGAATGACAAGAACAGACTAAGTACAGGAATATCGTCATGGGGTAATGTGATGCACTCCCCATTGCCACAGTTCGTGCAAGGTCTGTGCTCATGTGGGACAAGCGCACTTGTTGATATGCGTTTGTGCAGGTCATGGGATTGAAGCGCAAAGGTAACTACTCCGGCCGCTTTGACGAGCTTATGAAGATCGCCACAGAAGTCTTCAACACACTTCTGGAGAGGGCTGCTCAACTGCCAAGGAACTACATACTGGATCAGACGAAGTATAATTTTGGAAAGCGCTGAATTGTCTTTCCTCAAGTGCAGTTCTGCACAGAAAATATTGCGATTGTGGCAAATAAGTAAACATGTCATGGATTGGGCACCGGCTTTAGCCAATTTCTTTCAACACAATTTTGGGCTGAAGGAAGGATTGTGGCTGTCGCCTTGACGCTGGTGGAGAATCGTATGCTCAAGTCGCTTTTGGAACATTCTCGCAACTGCTACCGTCACAAACGACTGCACTCTCCTGTGGAGCTCATAAATGTGATATTTTTTGACCTTGGTCAGGAACAATACTGAAGTACCTGTATGCCTTGAAGTGCAACAGAATGAAAAGCTCAAGCTCCATTTGCTATTTTTCTCATGAGCTCAGGCAGCTATAAGATACCCATGTAACTAGCAGAGGAACAGACTCCTGATGAAATTAGTTGTAGTTGCAGTACAGACTCACAGAGGAGCATATGCTCCCAGCGTGTTGCATTTACAAGGCAATGTCCCTTGCACTGTGCCAACAGAGATAACAAAAGGAGCACAGAAGGGCATACAACTTGTGCTCGGTGTGCTGGAGCGCACTACAGAAGTGTTGCTTTCATTGCCAAGTTGCTTGGTGTCAGCAGCTCTTATTGAAGGTGCCGGCAACTTGGAAGCAGGGGAACCAGCCTACATTCTCCTGCTGGCCATCATCGATGTTTCAATGAATCTTGTATGCATCTCACCAGGCAATGCATTTTGCTTGTGCTGTACTAACTTCACGGGTGAATGGGCGACGTTTTGTTAAGTGTTTGCAACCACAATTACCCTGTCCAGTTTGGAACACTGATCTGACAGTGTGTTTTGTGCAGTGTCTATGAAAAAGCCCGAATCCGAAAGCTGAAACCATTCCACAGGGCAGGTTTCAGGAGGATCTCAGCTGTCTTTGTAGTCCCAGACCAAATCCTTTTCGAGAGGCAGCAAAGGCAACATCAGGATGAGGGCAAGTTTGTGCCCGACCAGTCAATTGCTGATATGAAAGGTTCGGCACGAGTATCTCCTTCCCCAGCAAGCGTTTCACTTTGGGAGCGGGTGCTTTTGCACTGTCCAGCAGTTTGGCGGGAAGCGTTTGCCAAATATATTACTGCTCACAAAGAGAAACTATTTTGTGGCTGCACGAGATTGTGGCTTGAATGCGACCCAGCAAGTGTAGAAGCTCTGTTGTCCTTTTGTGTGTCCATGTCACCAGAGAATGGGTGCTGGACAAATTTCTCATGTGCAGTTGTTTCACATGAACATACCTCGTGCATTTCTTCACTTGAATCCAAACATCAAAGGAATGCTGTGTTAGTTCCAGTTCATCACATCTCTTTCTCAGAGCAGCTGCTGTTGTCAGGACACATTGGGATCGCTGCCTGAGCACCCCTGGGGTGACTTATTCTTCTCAGTCATGGAAGCAGCAGCGCCTGCCACACACAATCTGCTGCACCCAAAATCGCCACCCAACATATCATGTGAAAAGGTGGTGCTTTTATCAATATTAAACCGATGAACAAGCGCACAACATACTGTGCCCATTGCATACTACAGATGCCAGCAGTGCTTATCGTTGCCCTGTAGAATCAAGGGGTGTGGCTTTGCCGACAGAGTCCTGTGTTCTGTGTGGAATTCTGGTTTGAAAAACTTGGAATTCTGCTGTTTGTCATGTCACAGCAGTTGGAACTGCAGTTGAAGAGCCCCTATCATGGGCTGTGCGTATACTGTTGTACATGCATTAGTGCACATGCTGCAGGTATGCTCCGCACTTTTGGTGCTCATATTGTATGGGTGAGTGCGAAGTATTCATTGTGACCTGGATGCCTCCTGAATCGTCTAGCCATGTTGTGTCCATCTCCAACATGCAACGCTGACACCTCTTTTGTGACCTGTGGCGTGCAGTGAACTTTGCAATCCCACAGATGGGGCCATGGCCCCGGTTTGACGATGTCTTTTTTGTGGAGATGGGACTCCCAGACGCCCTGAAGGTGGTGGAGAGCCAACGACAGGCTGGGCTGGCATGGATAAGAGAAAACAAAAAGAGGTCCTTGGAAGGGGCCAACAAGCCGATGATGATGCCTGGCAACCCGATGGGCCCCATGAGTCAGCTTGGATCGTTTGGAGAGCAGTTGGGTGGCAGTCAGGGTCCGGGACTGCCTGGGATGGGGCTGGACATGATGCTGCCGGGCGGGCAGATTCCCATGGTGCCACAGGGTAGGTGATAATGTGCCCTGAATTCCTGTTATGTGACATTAAATCACTGAGCGACATTTGCCCCACCAGCAACTATTCGCCTAGTCTGGCACTCCATGCCTGCGTCCTTGAGGTTTGGAATGCGATGGCCACCTGCTGCCAAGAAGTGGGGCAATTCCTATGGAATTGGCAACCTGGTAGGCCCCAACAACTTGGCTATGGATGCATGCATTTGTGTGTTGCTGTAGATGGTCCAGGTGGTACTTATGGTTCCCTGTCCCTCATGAGTTTGTCTTGTTCTCAGCAGCAGCTGTCTGGCCGGGCCCATTCTGATTGCCTGCTTGTTGCATGATTTCCAAGGACTGGATTTGATTCAGTACCCTGATTTTGGTGCCGATGTGTAGCCTCTCTTGAGGAGACTGTCCAGAATTGTGAATGGATGATATCATTGCTAGTTTCTGCTCTCCCCATTATTACTGTACAATGAAATGAATTAGGAAATGAAGCACCCGATAAGAATGGATCAAGTCACCACAGTGGCATGGAACAGCAAGTGGTGGAATGAAGCACTGCACTGCACTGCGCTGCACTGCACTGCACAGCACTGCACTGCACTGCGCTGCGCTGCGCTGCACTGCACTGCACTGCACTGCACCGCAATGCAATGCACTGCAATTGCATTGCAATGCACTGGTGGTAGTGTGCACCACCCAGCAGCATTATTCTAAAGTTGTATCAATTTAATGGGGAAACCACGCAGCAACTGTCATGGATCACAGCACAGCAATCCATGTTTGTTTCCATGATTCAAAATTGTGGATCAACATATCCTCACCTTTGTGCCTCTTAGACAATGGGGGACTGGTTAAGTTCGATGACAGCAGGCTTGTTGCCAACCTCTGTAATGCAGGTGTTGTTCCGATGGTGAGGGACTCTGGGCGGAACCAGCAGATGGGCCCACTGCACAACAGTCCACGGCCCATGGTTCGTGTCGACATGGAAGGCGGCATGGACTCGCGAGGCGGCATGGCCCGGCCACCAGCGCTGGGTCCGCCTGGCCGCCTGCAGGGCAACAGGGGCCCAGGGAGGGGCCGACCGATGACCAACAGCCGGCGGCGGATGGACGGTGGTGGCGACTTCGGGATGGGCGGAGATAGGTTTAATAGGATGGAGGGGCCCAGACCATTGATGCACGGAGGTCCGATGGTCAAGGATGAAGATCTGCGGAAAGGGGATTGGGGAATGGAAGGGGGAATGGGAAGGTTAGAAGACGGTGGCTTCAATCCTAAGAGAGGGCGAATGGGGTCCAGGGAACCCATGGGCATGGGGTCCAGGGAACCCATGGGCATGGGGTCCAGGGAGCCCATGGGCTTGGGTCCCAGGGAACCCATGGGCATGGGCCCCAAGGACCCGATGGGGATGGGACCCAGGGAACTGAAGGGAATGGGGCCCAGGGAACTGAAGGGAATGGGGCCCAGGGGTCCGATGGGTATGGGCTCAAGGGAACCCATGGGCATGGGCCCCAGGGGGCCAATGGGCTTGGGAAACAGAGACCCCATGGGCCTGGGCCCCAGCGAGCCATTGGGCCTTGCAGACAAGGGGCCCATGGGATTTGATGGAGATCCTGGGATTGTTATGCCCCCTGGCCTTGGCAAGATGCCCCCGATGGGTGGCAGGGGAGAGATGTTGCGGACCGGGGGGGCTGGCATGGGTGGCCCGCCTTTCAGGGATGCTGGCATTGGCCCGAGGATTGATGCTGTGGAAATGCCCCCTGGGCTGGGCATGGGGGATCCTCCAAACGGGGAGGCGTTGGGTGGTCCGGGGATGCGCATGGGGGAGGGCCCAGGCGGTGGACTGGGAAGAGGCAGGATGCACAACATGGGGATGGGAGGCATGGGGATGCAGGGCCAAAGCAGGGGAGGGAGGGGGCTTGGAGGAGGCCGTGGCATGGGCCGCAGTGCAGGCCGCAGTGCAAAGGGGCCAACGATGGGCAGGGGGCCACATGCCACGTTGCTGGGTTCTAAGGCAAAGCAGCAAGAGCAGCTTCCAGGTGAGGGGTTGTTGTGATGTTGGTGCTTTTTCCTTTGGCGGAAGGCTGATTTGTGTGGCTGATATAGTGGCTGATATGTGTGCCCTGCCACCTGACACCATCGCTGTTCCAAAATGGAATGGATACCTGTGCATTGCTGCGCCGTACCCCAGGGACTGCACCTGCAGCCATGTCCGTGTCGTAGACACACCATGTGCAGCATATACATCATATTTGCTTGAACATGCGCAGTGTCCTTGCGCACACAGTTGGGAGGTAGAGTCGTGCCATGGACTAAAGATTTATGCACTCTTTGCACCGCTCAGCAGCAAGGAACGTTCCAAACCCTCAGGCCCCTCATCTGGAAAGGGTTTGACATGCAATTCTGTTTGCATCCTGCGAGCTAACGCCCTCTGACTACTGATCGTTGGAACGCAACTTGAGTCAGCTCCTTGGCTCAGGTGCACATTAATGCGCTTACAGGTTGCGGCTTGCTGGAAGCTGGCCTCATGGAAGGGGCGATCAGCCGATGGTGGCCATGACTTGCTAACAACTCACCATCAGCATGCACAGAATACTGTGTGTGGAGCTGACTGGCGATGCGTCGTAGCCCATCAATGCCACCGCAGTGCAGTTCTCGCAGTTGTTGCTGGCTGCTTCATGGTTTTACTGACATTTGGAACCCTACCATGCTGCCGTCGCCTTGAAGTTATTGTTGCCATTTGCATATGCCTTGCAGAGCTGTGGCGCCAGCCATAATTGTCACAACCTTGTGTTTGCTATAGGTGATTTGTTTGTGCTCTCAGGTGGCCCTCATTCACAGCAGCACCACCGGGTGGGCATGGGGATGGCAAACCCCGCTCCGCAGGGCATGTCAAGGTCAGACAGCAGAGGTCGTGGCACTGGGCAGCGGCCATCACTGCCTGGCAGGCCTGGCCCATTTGCAAATACTGCTGGACCAAGATCAACTCCAACGATGATGGGCGGTGAGGCATATTAATGCACACTGTTACACGTGTTTGCTTGGCACAGCCACACTTCTCTCTGGTTCTGTGGAAGTCCCTTTGTTTTTTTCGTTTTTCGCTGTGGGACAATGATTTGCTGTTGCTCGTTGTAGTTGATACTGTGTCATTATTTGTGGACACATCGTTTGTTCCCAGAGTTGAATTCGTTACACCAATAACGTGTGTCCTAGTGCAAGTCCAATGTCCGGGCCCATTCACAAGAAATGTGATGTGGTGCTATTTTGGACCATTTTGTTCCCTTATATAACCATATACTCGATTCCAGCTGGCCAGGATCCAAAGGATCTGCAAAGGAGCTGTTCTTAGAGTGAATGTGCAGAACTCAAGCAACCCAGCTAGACGTGGACCTGCTGTCTGGCCTAGGGAAAATGTACAATCCCAGTCCTGTGGAAAGTGTTGCATTAAGTGATCCAATTTCTGACAGTCCTCGTGAAAGCAGAGCCCATGGTACCTTGAATCTGCTGCTACTCTAAGCGTACCATACCTCATGTGTGTAGATTAGCATTTGGTACGGCTGCCTTTTTTTGTTCATGTGGCAATTGCTTGCATTCTGTGAGCCGCTCTTCCATCCCTTCTTCCATAGCATGTCCACAGCATGGAAATTCTGCCTGAGGTAATTTGTGCATGTACACAACGGATGCAAAGATCGTCCCAACTTTGCAAGAGCTCTGGAAGGCGGGAGAGGCTCGGGTCCAGCCAAAACGCAGCAAATGGCAACGCAGCGGGGTCAGCAGTTTGACAATCCGCTGTACCCTGCTGTTGGGGCAGCTTCACCAGCCGCAGCGGTACCCTTGCCAGGGAAATCCCTGCCTGTGCCTGGGCAGTTGGCTGAGCAGCAGGTGTGTTTCAATGTCGAGTGTACATATTAGAGCGCTGCTTCCTTGGCAGCCAACACGAGTGCGCACTGCTGGAGCTGATATCAGTTATTTCCTGCTTGTTTGGAGCAGTTTAAATACTGTCTTGCGTTGCATTGCTTGGTGTCAATCCTCATTAACACAACATTGTCACGTGACCAAGCAGATGCCCTTGCATGAAATTGGCGACGTTGGGCAATGGTTCCACGTGCATGTGTTTGTTCCCACGATGTTGCGTTGGAGTGTGCATGGTGGATCGTTGGTGTATTGGTATATCAGTACATTCAATAGAATACTTCAGAAACATTTTATTGCAAGCATAATGTATCGTGTACATGTGGTGCAGCAGAGTGCATTGGTGCAAATACTGTCAGCTTTTGTCGGCCCCAAACCCACACATGCATAACAATGTTATGCTGATTATAGCTGGCCAACTTTCGGGGTCGCCACTCTGGCACAACTGGGCAATGATAGGACAGTCAGTCTTCATCAGCATTTCTACACCATCTGCTTTGTATTGTCTGTTGCATAGTTCCTAGCAGCGCCACACTGGGAATTTATTATTTGATGTGAACACTTGCAGTGGTGTTTCTTGTCGGGAGAGTGCTCATTGGCATGTGTGCTGCCAGTTTTCAGCCAAATGCAGGTGACACTATTTAAAGGCTTTGCTGCAGCATCCTGTGCTCAGCGTGAAACGCACAGTTCTGCAAGTATAACGACATTATTGCACACAGGGAATACTGCTGTTGGCGGCAAAGTTTCTGTGGTGCTTCGCATTTGTCTGGAACTGGCTGAGGTCCAGCACCAGGCAATTTGTGCACATTGTGCCCTACAAAGTCCCCAATGTAACTGTGCACCAATTCACTTTTGAAAATCAGGCCTGCTCTCGGTGTTTTTGGTATGCAGGGAATTATTGCACTATGAAACTGAATATACAGCCAACAGTATGCCACCGCACCCAGCCCACTCCAGGTGAACTGGTATGCTCGTGGCATGATTTGTTAATGATGTACCTGTACCTTGACTGATACATGGAAGTAATAGAAGAGTCCTGTGTCTGGTGTGCCTTGGGTGAGACCAAACATGCACAACTGCCCTGGGATGCGCAGGCAGTAAATTATGGCAGCGGTGGTGGACCACAGGATGTGCAGGCCGCGCACCCAATGAGTGCGATAGCTCGTGCCGGCGCCCCCAGTCAACGGGCACATGGTCCGGGCCAAGCTCCCAGGACGAACGACGTGGCTGCAGGCATCGAGGCGCAGAGATACCTGGCCCCAAGTGGAGGCATTGGGCCTCAAGAGCGCATCGGGCCCACGGTGGATCAGTTGGATCAGCAGCCAGGGGCATGGCCTTCATCTAGCAGCTCTTTCTATGGGCAGCCACAGCAGGGGCGACAGCAGGGACGCCCTTCAGATGCGTACATTCATGGCACTCCCATAGGGCCGTCGCAGGTGAGGGCGCATTGGCTCAGTGAGGGCATAGCAGTTTTGGGAGGCTGCAAGAGCTTTGACAGGGATGGCACACAGCCGCTCTACGCAGCAAGCCGTGATGCAAGTTTCAGAGTTTGTTCCAAGGTGGCATACGACAGAACATAGCCCCTCACAGTCCCTCACAGCACAACCCATCCCCAGTGACACAGCACAACAAACCCAACACAGTTCTGAATGAAGTTTCTTGGAATCGGTTAGGCCATCAGCGGCCTGCCAACTGCCGATTGGCGATTCTCTGCTGAGTGTCTTGAGCCAGCCCTTGCCCTCATTTTTCTGTAGATCAATTTTCCCCGTCGAATGGACTGCTGCAGAATCACAGCAACTGCAGCAGCAACTGCTTTCTTTCTGGAACCGCAGCGATCAGTGAAGAGACGAGTGTGCGCCTTGCAGATGGCATATGGATCTGTTCTTTTCATGCACATGGCTGTTGAGTGGGTGCTCACTCTGGACCACCTTGTGCTTGTGATTGATCAGCAGGCGGACAAGCAGCAGGTTGGCCCGGAGCAGCAGCAACCCCTCCCTCTGCCCGACCAGCAGATGCCCGCCTACGGAGTCCAGACGGGGCCCCATCCCGCCCCGCTGCAAGTCGCCCAGTCCCAGCAGCCCGTGCCACAGCCGGCACAGACCAACCCGAGCACGCAGCCGGGCTGGCACCCCCACGCCCACGCCCAGCCGCACTACTCTGGCTTCGCGACGCATACAAGCCAATACGGGCAGCCCCAGCCCAGTGCCACCGCTCAGGCCCCCGTGCCGCAGGTCGGGCCCTCCCCTGCTGCAAGGGCGCAGCCGGCCGCCCAACCCGCCGCCCAGCCTGCCGCCCAGCCCGCCGCGAGGCCCCCAGCCCAGGCCGCAGGCCGGATGTACTACGACCAGACGGGCGCAAGCCAGGTGCCTGCGGCCCCCCAGGTGCAGAATGCCGCCGCTGCAGCGTACGGCCAGGCGGGCGAGACGTACGCGGCCAACCCGGGCTATCCCGCGGCGTACGAGCAAGACTACGCGCAGATGGGCCAGCAGCAGCCCCAGCCGCATCCTCAGCCCGGCCAGCCAGCGGGGTACTACAGCGGCTACGCCGCATCCGCGCAGCCGGTGCCGCAGCAGCCGGCTCAGCAGTATGAAGGGTACACGGCGCCGCCCAGTGGGCAGTACGACTACTATGGCCAGGCTGCAGGGGGGGACAAAACGCAGAATGGCGCGTACCCCCAGCAGGGGTACGGCTACGCCGCGGCGCCAGCGGATGCGACGTACCCGAGCCAAGCCGCTGCCGGCCAGGTGCAGCCGTACGGGGCGCAAGCGGCCGAGGCGCAAGCCCAGCAGCTGGCGCCATTCTATCCTCCACAAGGGTACGACTACGGACAGGGGGCACAGCCGCCCGCAGCGGGCTACGGGGCGCAGTACCAGCAGCCAGTCCCAGATCCCGGTGCTGCTATGTATGGGGCCCAGGGATACTGAGCACGTGCGCACGCAAAGCAGCCAGGCACGCCTTCAGGATCAATGCATCTGCGCTGGATGACTGCCCACAGGCCTGGGCTCAGTGCGCAACCGCCGCAATGCCACGGCGTTGATCGGCTGGTGACATAGTTCGGATCTTGTTGAAGGCAAGGGTGGTCTGCTGGTGCTGCGCTCGGCCTGTAGCGGCGTTGGGGAGCATTCCCTTCTCGCAGGGTTGTCAGGAACGCAGCTCGATAAACCGGGGCACAGTGGCTTGCAACGTGCACGAGCCTCAGTTGAGGTTTCTGTCGCCTAGGCTCTGCGTGACTAGCCGGATAGCAGCAGGTGGGACGCAGTGTGCAAGGGAATGTGAGGACTCGTCTCGAAGGGTCGTGGCAGCTGCTGCGGGGCGACGACCATCTCTTGGTGAGGGCGGAGGGTGGCAGCACACGATGGCCTTTGAGACAATACGCAAGTTTTGGAGAAGATTTGAGTGCACCTTTAGGATTTGCAGGTTGACATCCGCCAAATTGACTTTTCAGGTTTTCAAATATCTCAGCAAACGGTTGGCAATGTTGGGGTCGAAGAACAGCAGCCGGAGCGCTTGGTGCCCAAACGCCAAGATGCTGGAAAAACGGCCATGAACCGAGAGCGCTACCTGATCATGGCCTGCTGCGGTTGTTTGGCGAAGTGTGACAATGCTGCCCGGGGCGCAGGCGCCGCATCAGCTGCGCAACATTCGCAGCACACCCAACACACCTGACGCGAACTCGGGGGGCAGCGCCTTGGCTGACATGGCGACACAACCCGACTGGATTTATTGTTGCCTATGCATACAGCACACCGCGCCACAGAACTTACAGCAGGGAACATCTGGAAGCCACAAAAGCCACGCCCGTCTCGAGGGGATCCGTCAACGGCTTGCTCGTCTGTCTCCTCGGCAGCTCCACCCTGTGGCCTTTCCTCTTGAGGTAGGGCGCCCACCGCACGCAGTTGGATATGTGCACATCCTCGACTATGTGCTCCAGGGCTGGGCGGAGCGATAGCACCTCCAGTCCCCTGCATCGCTCCCCCAGCCGTCCCTCAACCGCCCGCCGCACCTGTGGCATGCAGGACATTTTGGGCGGAACCAAACGGGCGTTGAATCGGCACACGCCAGCCATGGGAAGATAATTGCCATTCCTGTGCACCTCGAACCTGGGCAGTGTTTATCGGATTGGCGAACGGCCAACCCATGGAAACGCTGGATACTTGACTGGTGCGCTGCTGCGGACATTGAGACAGCATTGCAGCGGCGGCAATCCAACGATTGAACAAACGCATCTGCTAAACATGAGCTGTTCTGCGGCAGCAGCACTGCATCAAACATCATCGGCTCCATGCCCAAACTGGCGCAAGATGCCCGCACCATTGGCACGTGGGTAAGCGCGTCTCCCACCCATCTGGACAACATCCGCGACTGACACCGGCGAGCAAACACCCCTGCATGCATGGACATGCAGCGAAACATGGCCCCGTTGTGGCGCTAGGGCTTCGGCACGGTCTTAACACGATTTCATCCGAAGCCATGTGACGGCACACCTTCGTGTGTCCCTGACCTCGGTGCAGAGCCTTCCCCTGGGGCAGGGAGCAGGCAGCAGGGATTTTACCAAATCCCAGACATGGCCAGCACAAAGCTGCACGAGTCAACCACCGTAGCTTCCCCCCCTTCCACCTTCTCGTCATCATCAATGCCAGAGGGCGGCCATCAGGCTCCCCGTTTCGTCCATTTTCACCTTCTCCGATTCAGCCAAACAGTCCATTGATCGACGCGCACGCACGTCTCCCCCACACGCTTCCACAAAAGCAAGGCAATAACTTACAGTGGAGTCGTGGTAAATTCCATTCCATCCCCACAGTGTGCCACACCTGTGCAGTGGTGAGCTCCCAGCAAAGTGTGAGCACCACCAAGGGGGGCAGCAGGCCGTCCTGCGGCAGCAGCTCCAGCAGTGCCTCCGCGCGACCCAGCGCAGCTGCCATGTCCTCGCCTTCATCCATGAGGAACACGAAGCCGCTGGTGTCGCGCAGCAAATGGCCGTCCTCCGGGCCCAGGTGGCGCGGCCAGCAGTCCCACACGAAGGTGCCCTCCTGGTCCAGCAGCACGCGCCCTGCAGAACGGGGAAGAGGGCACCCGGCAGGGCTGTGATCTGGGAGTGTTGAGCATGCAGGTGGGAAGACACGCTGGGAAAAAAGACACTGGGAGAACACACTAGGAGAAACACCGCCCTTTCACGCACAGTATGCGCCGCATACTGAATAAGTCGCACAACTTACCATACTTTTATTTTTGTTTATATTTTACAGTTATTGTTACACTTCTTTTATGTTGGTGCTGATATTGATATCCATAAGGGTATCTAGATTGATATTCATATTTGTATTCATATTTGTACTTGTATTCGTATTTACTGTTACATTCACATTTGTATCATGTTCATATGCAACAGCAATAGGCTTGACAGCTGCGGCAGCGCCAAGCGAGGCTTACCTTTGCGCCCATCGATGGCCATTCGCTCAGGAGAGCACCGCTGCCTGCCGCTCAAGCGGCACCATAGCCACTGCTTGGCAGGGGTGGGGTATGGCAGGGGGCCATCGTTGCTGGGCTGGCTCCCTGTGCAGACCGTCAGCTTGAACGTCTGCCTCATGGAGCGCCTCTCCTTCAAGATGCGCTTATGTGCACCGCCCACGTCCAGCGGACTGCTGTGCGGGTGGACGACAAGCCTCTCCATGAATTCTTCGTACACGTGCAACGGCGGGAAGCTCTTGGGCACCAATGGCGGCTCCTGGGGGGCAACACACAATTAGCTGACTGTTGCACAAATTGTGTTCCAACTGGTTGCTCTACAGTGAATCTAACCATCCATCAATCCATCAACACATGGAAATCCATGCATCAACAAACACGAATCTGCAGTTAATCCACAACTATCGACACAAAGACACATAAGAGCACTGGAACAGATGCACCATACTTTACTCTGGTCTTGTGGTGTGTAGTTCCTCCGTCTGGAATTAACTGTCCTCTGACGTTGGCGCCCTAGTTCTCCATAATGGGAGCTTCTTTTCTTATTGAAATTTCTTTCAAAGATGCGCCTATATTTTGGGAGTATACGGTCAAAATTTCAAGTCAATCCATTAAGTATTGAAGATTTGGCAAGACATTGTAGCAAGGGTCCTCTTGCCAGAAACCCACCCGTTTGCCAACAATGTCACCAAATGGGAATGGCTTCCAAGGTTGGATAGCAAAATCGACCCTTGCTATGACAATTGAAGGAGTGGAACGCAATGCAAATGGTCAGATACATAGGTTTGTGCCTCTCTCACAAGTAGTGACTAGGTGGATTCCGAAGGGGTGCGCACCACACATAGAAGTTGGCCGCTAGTGGCAATTTCTAGAGTGTGGGCCCAGCCATGCACCAAAGCCTCGATTCAAGGACCAATCGAGGCACAACGTCAGAGTAGAGTTGCAACATAGCCTTACAGTGATAGCCCGCACAGAGCCCAAGCTTGAACGCCTTGGGCGTTGCCTTTTCCGCTTGTGGCAAGTCCTCGCATCGGAGATCAAGGAGGCAGCGATTTCTGCCATTATTGACACCGCGACGATGGGCTTCTCCGATGGGGGTCCAAACACAGCTGAGCATGTTTGGCAAGCGCTACACCACATGAGGAACACTGCCCTTTGCCATGATGGCAACAATGACCATGTCTTGGCACGCCTGGGATGGGAACGAACCAGAACAGCGCAGATCTCCAAAAGACGCCGAATCAGAATGCACAATTTTCAGCCGAATCTTAGGCAATTCCACGGGGCCCCAAAGGTAGTGGGGATGGGTATTTTGTCATAAAAATTGGTAGTCAAGGGCTTTGGGACCCAATCTTTCGATGATGACCTTCATGGTGCTTTGGAAGCCGTTTAGACAACTAAACTGATCTTTGAAATAGAGGACAGCTGATTCCGGACGAAGCAAGTACATGTGTACGTGTTTCTGCTGGGGTGACTGCAGTATGGTAACTGCTTCATCAATGACACTGTTAAAAACCTCTTCTTGCATAACGCTGCTAAATTCAAATTCATCAAACGTTGGATCATCAAATCAAGTGGTCAGCATGATGACAGCAGACGTTAGTCAACTTCCAGTTGTCTCAGACATCAGAAAATCAGCCCCACCGTCCCAACGGGAGGTGGACTGCCTGCTCATGCGGACCTGGCCTGATTGTCTGCTTGTTTGCATGATGTACTGAATTGAACTTTGTTGCATTATACACTGAACTGGGCTCTGCATGTCCGACAGTGAAACACAAGCAATGGTCCAGAACAGAACCAACAAGTTCCCAGAAGCGGCCACCGCACCCGAAACGTTCACAGCAGCCCAGTGAACCCAGTGCCAAGCACAGAAAATGGCCAGAATGTACAAGAAAACAGAAAGAACAGATTGGAAGCAAGAAGGCCAACAGAGCATGCTGATCTTCAAACCACATGCATCGTCACCTTCCATGGGATCTTGGGGTCCATCATGTTGAAAAGGGCGCCCACATGGCTTGGCTCCACCTCGTAGCCCTCAGGAATGTCATTCCAAAACTCTTCCAGCACCGCTCTGCGTTGCTGCTCACGCCGCTCAATGATGGCCTCCCTCACGTTCCTGCGCCATCTGCGCAGGTTTAGGCGCAAGATGGGTTGCCTCAGCACATTTTGCAGTGCCAGTTCTTCCATTTCCTCCTGCCTGAAAAACCACCATCACAAAAGCTTCAGCTGACACAGCAATATGAACACATGCAAAATTTGGAGGTTAAGGCAAAGCACTGTTCTTGTACCTCGAAGGCCAAAATGGCAGCAGACAAGCTGAACAAGAGTACGTGAGGGTCAGCGACATTCTGACGGCATAACATCAGCACCAGCAGCTTTGACATTTCCTGAAGAATAGGCTGCGATTGAACTCTGGCACGAACACTGCTAGTTAGGTTGGACATCGCCTGACACAAACTGCTCCACGAACCTGCTGTTTCTCCCGCATATCAACAACAGGGCCGATTCCTACCAATTCAACCATACTGAATCCATGAAAGTGCAAAGCTGAGCACAACATCTGTTCCCATGATAAACACCATCTGAAACGAAAGAGTCTGGAGGAAGGATGGGAATGTTGAGGGACTGGTCAGTCTTGTAACCTTCTGTAGTTTGCTCCAAATAGCCGGACACGTGCAGGAACCAGAGTTGGTGTTTTGGCACAACAGGTGGCAGTAAAAGTACTGTGCAAGGGCTTATTTGGCAATGCCTCCAACGCAAATCGAATACCAGTGTGTTGTTATGGCCCACAGGCATTTGCATTGGAAACAGGTTCAGGGACTCACAAGCAGCGCTCCTCCTCCCTATCCCGCAGCCATTCTTCCTTTAGCCACAGGTCCCTCTCCCGTTGCCTCTTGCGACTGGTCGCCGACTCTGGAGGCGCCTCTGTCACTGCAGTGCCTAGGTTGTCCCATGACCCGATGAACTGCGACCAATTGCGGCCAGCCAGGCACCTGAGGTGTTCACCCTGTCCCTGGCCTGCCACCCCCGCCTGCAAACAGATTCAATTTTGGACTTTGATTCTTCAATCTGGCATTTAGAAAGGCTGCATTTAGAACATTCTGCAAGAGGACGCTTCAACGTGTACAGGAAGTGACATGTGACAACTGTGGTAATTACGATAGTTACGATAACAATAATGTGGATACATTAATAAAGTACGCACACATACAAACAAGCCCATGAAAATGGATCTAAAGCCAAAGAACACATTTGCACTCACAAACCTGCTCCTCAGCCTGCAGAGGTGGCTTGGCACCCTGTTCCAAGGGCTGCTCAGCCTCCACACTTGGCCTCTGCTCCTCCACCCTTTCATGCGGCCTGGTTGCCATGAAGTGGCTTTGTGCCTCAGGCTGCCTGCGAGGAGCGGCAGGTGGGGGCACTTGGGCCACTTGGGGCTCGATGTGGCGGATTCGAAAGACAGTCTGCCAAGGGGCAGGTGGTGGGGTTGCTGGATTGGTGTGACCTGCTGTGGAGGCTGTGGGTTCCCTCTCAGGGAGGGACGAAGGGGACTCTTCGGGAGATGTGTCGATCACAGTGTGCAGGTTGAAAGGGATGGGCTCAAGGCGTGGCTTGGGCGCCCTCTCCAGCCCAGTGGAGAAGGTTGTGGACGGCCTCCTTGCCTCCCTTGCGTAGCCACTGCCATGCCTGTCCAATATGGCGTTGCACCTCGCCCAGGCCGTCCCCTGGGGGACAGTGAAAGCCAGGTTGTGATCCATGTGCCCAAGGAGAGGTTTGGGACATGTGGGCAAACTTCCGCCCCATTGCCGTGCGTCTATTTGCAGCAAAAAGGAATCATGAAATGCACTGGGCAACGTCTTGCCAAGTTGTAAGACATTCTCTTTGTTGTCAGGTCCTACAGGAATCTCCAGGCACAGCTTAAATACAGCTCATGGCAGACTACAACAGAAAGCAAATCAACAGCTCTCGGGGTCTCCAGTTTTTAATCGTCAGGGGACAGCCTGCGTATGGTTGCCTTCATCAAACCATTCACTCAGGCCATCTCTGCATTCCTTTGCCTTCTTTGCACTATTTATTTGTGTTTTGTGCTCTGGTGCTTCACCCACTATCTTGGCAAGATACTGGGTGGACACAGCCTGTGGCCTTATGAAATAAGCACCCAGCGCATCTTGTGCTTCAGAAGAATAAGCATTCAGATTTTCTTTTGCTGCCAAAATGCGATACCTTCCAAATGCAGGAATCAAAATCCAGCAAAAGAGAGAACGACTGTTCAGAAATGGAACAACAGCACCCAGCGCATGGCAACGCAGAATTGCATTGGCTGCTAGCGAGGTGTTGAAAAAGCGCGTTACCACAACTGTCTGGGTTGCATTCCAGCAGAATGAGCAGAGACGCACACTTCTGGCCATTCTGATATTCAGGTACAAATCAACTCCAGTTGCTGCCCCTCACCTCCATTGTCTTTCGACAGATGCGAATTGCAACTCCTTCAGAGACCTTCTTGTCTCTCTGCCAAACACGATCAAAATCCGATAAACAACTGGTACATATGCCTCAGCACCGCAATTCTGTGAGCATGTTCAACAGCAGGTACACAGATATGTTGGACACTACCAAGTGGATCGACTCAAAACCAGAACAACAAGACTACAGACATATCACCCGATGGAATCCCAAATGCAGCAGCAAATGGTTCAGAAGGGCATGGTACTGGGCACAATGAAATCAAGCAGTTCAAGAGGCTGCCTCTTGATTTGGTGACCAGTGTTGAATCTGTGTTGACCATCAGGAACCCTGTACCCACAGCAGTTTGGCTGGTACACGTGCCCCAATCATCATTCAAAGAATGGGAGACTCGCTCAGGAGCGGAGCAGCCACATATGCATTGTTCTTGTCTCCATCAGTGGTTGACCCACGCACATGATTCGCCTCTGGTTTCCTCATCCTAATCAGGGGTGGGAAGGAGACAGCCATGCATTACCATGCAGGTTCTCCACTGTCGCAGCGCATCCTGCCACGATGGAAAAGCACTAATGCCTGATTTGATGACCTGCATTCAAGGCAAACAATTAAGCGGTCATCTGCCGTAACAAGGTCTCCAAGATACAAGCACAAATGACGGGGCTCTCATTTGACATGTTCTTCCAATACAGCCACCGAGGACTTCCCCAAAAGGCATGTACTTCAGGGTAACTGGTCAGTATCACGCAGGACAACACAAGACAGTGCAGCAGTGTGGAGCATACTGCAGTGAACTGCAGTCCATTGATGTCCACAGCAGTACAGTCTTGGAGAATTCTAACCCAATGCTGGCATGCAAATGGGAAATAGCGCTGCAGGACAGTTGAATCGTGCCACGCACTGGCCAAGCACATCTAGAGCAACACCATGTGCAAGGCGATTTTCTTCAGGGAGCCCTCTGCATCTGTCTCGCTAACTGTGGCTTGTGGAGACCTGTAGGCTGCATTTGCGCATGCTGTGATGTATAGAACAGGCTGGCTGGAGTACCATTTGTGGGGTGCCAATATACAGCTGCAAGCCCCCAGTGGCTGTGTTATCTAAGGGACCTGAACCCTGATGCAACTTGCATTACTCAACGCAATCAGCTGGACGAGGTTCACCACCTAAAAACGTTTTGTTCACAAATACCAACATGGGTAATATCACAAACATAGACTTTTCAATAAGTCACCTGATACAAGCAGATTGACCTCTCGTTCTTTCTTTGTATACAAATTTGACAGTGTCCATGAACACCAAAACCCAGGACTTTCAGGAACATTGGCACACTGCTACATACAATTGACCTCTGCACATTGAATAAAGCTGAACAAGTTGTCGGGACTTCAAGGCTGGGCAACTGCCAAGAATCGTCCACAGAGAACCAAAACAGGTCATACACAGAGCAACGCAGAGCCCAAGTCCACCACAACTGTTGGGAGCAACAAAACAAACCAACAGACCACAACATTGTCACCACAACTGCACCTTATCCACTCCTGACACGGGGAAAGGCATCTGTGCCACAATGTGGCTGACGGGAGCATCAATGCCCGGTCCCAAGCAAAAGCCAGGCTTGGGGAAGGCCTCATTGTGAACAACCGGACTCTGAAGATATGTTGAAAAGCCAGGGAGTTATACAGCAGCAGAATGAGAGCTTCTTCATTATTGAAACAAGGCACCTGCAGGTTCACTTCTCGATTCTGGCTTTCTCCATGCCATTCGATTCCCTTGTTGCATTGCTTGCTGCTTCCAGGTTGGGTTTGGACACAATCATCTCACTGGCCATGCTGCCCTGATAAGCACTGCATCTAGCTGATGCTCTTTGTTTCTTTGCCCTGCAGCTCCCTGCTATTGCTGCAGGCTAAATAGCAAAGATCATGTGCCAATATATGTGATCGATGTCGTCAACTACAAGGCACTTGCCTATACTCATTGTATTCCACATGTGTAGTAGCCACAGAGCATCCGTCAGTCACCTCTGCGACTGGTTGCTGAGTTACCACAGAGAAAAACAGTAATAAGCAGGGGCAGAAACACAGAGCATTTCCGTACAACATTGATGACATCATCAACGTCACAATAGTGTCCTTGCCATCTGTAAGTATGGCATGTGCTAAATCTGAACCAGGCGCAGCATACCTGTCGGTTCCATCCAAGACCATCATATTGTGCAACACCCACACTCCTAACAAAGCGAAGCAAAAGGCACTGATCTCGGCTATGTCCTATCTCACATTCAGGGGCAATTGCCTCGGTCATTTTTGGCAGATACGCTCCAATCCTCCAGAGATCATGTTCGCTCTGTTCTTGAGAAACGCACCCCACTGGAACAATTTTGCAAACAATGTCCCCATAAAATTTCAATCCTCATCGCCCTGTCTGAATCTTCAAACAGCTGATTCGGAGATCCCCACTGGGGCAAACTATAAAAGATCAACAGTCATCAATCAAATCAATTTCACATCATCGACAATGGCAACAGGACTTGTGCTCAGCACAATTTGTTAGCTTCATTCCCAGCAAATATGAAGGGGCAGGGACCAGGTCTGAAAATTGAAATTCGAGCAACTTTGAAGCGATTTGCAAACCCACCCCAAGCATGACTGTGTCACCCTGCATGGGCAGTGAGAAGGCCTTGCAGAAGGCCACCAGGCCTTGAGCAGTCAGACATAGCTCTTCCATCAGGCTCGAAGCTGGGTACGGTCGTGTCCGTTTGCCTGCCAACATCCCAGCAGATTGCCTGATTCAGTGCTGGTGAGCCAAAATGAGGACTGGGCTGCCCAACCACAAATCTGCCCCGTTAGGCATTGACTGATCAATGATACAACGCATGCCCACACAGCAGAAGCAAGGATTGCAATTCGATTCATTGTGCAAATTCCATTTGACTGTCACTACATTTCAGGCCAGTGTCTTTGACCTTGGCAAGTGCACATAAAGTGCGCAGGTTCCAAACCTGTCTTTGCCATGAAGATGCAAGGGCAGTGTGTTGGTCCTTTTCAACAATGCTATCACACCAGAAAATATGCCTAGAGCCGAGCACAATCAGCATAAAAGACACCAATATATCAATGGCCACATGCGATTGCAGCTGTTTTCTTGTTTTGCACCATGGCAACTGCTCCCCCTGCAGCAGCAGGAGTGCATGTTACGACTGAGTCCACAACTGCAAATGGACAGAAAAATCTGGATGAAAATGTCCCACATGTAGGGCAACCACCATAGATCCTAATTCTGAATATCTGGTAACCTCCTGGCACCCTGCTACATCCCTACAACATGATGATTTCTAAGGATGCCCTTGTGCAGGCCCAGCAAAGGCATATAGATGCAAACTTGTCCACAATTCCCTTCAAGACATGATGAAATACTCCCAGAAAACAAGAGATCTTTCGATTGCTGCAGAAAATGACGCACATGCCAGGGCAGACACCCCTGTCAATATCCTGATACATAAAATGGGCAGTGCTTGCATATCCAATTTACCATTAGTCGTTTGAGGGCAGAAAATTGCTCTGCACATCGGAGTCAATAATGGTCAGTGGAAGCGAATCGTCATATTTTTACGCTCACTTGGGAATCTGTCCCCTGTGAGCCCATATGGGACCACACATTTCCACGGCCTCCCCTGCGGATGCCCGCATGGGCTGTCCCACTATACTGCAACTCAATGACTGGTGGGACAACATACAATATAACACAACACACGCAATCCAATCTTACAGTTGGTCAGACGCACCCATCGACTTGGAAATCGCCAACAGTGCCCTTTCACGTACTTCAGGGGCTAGCCTCCCCGCCAGGGCTCTCAACACCCAGGGGAGCTGGGGAACATCCCTGAAGAAGGATATCCAGTCACCCTCAAAGTAGGCCATGAAAAGCCGAACGACATCCTCCACTTCTGACTGCAACACAATGAACATCATGAACACCAAACCAAGTGCAGGGAATGAACAGAAAATGGACTGAAGCTTTACTACAAGTTGGAGTGGAAAGAAGGCCATTTCATTGATGATGTCAATCAATCCTGATTCTGCCAATCATGCATCAACAACCAGGGTTATGGTGCCTGTAGTACTGCAAAACATAAAACCCATGCAGGCAGCTGAGAGCAATGCTTGTCTATTACTGTCAACAGAATGAAATGTCAATGGCAACATTGTGCCTTTGCAGGGCAAAACAGTCTCCGTTTGAAAGAAATGTTGCAGGCATGGGCTGTTCAAATTGCCCCATCTATTTCTCAACACTCCATCCATATGAGCAAATACGAGTGGCAAGTGATGGGTGATGATGGCATATTCAGTGCAAGAGAATGTCATGGACAACTAATGGGACAGTCACGAAACATGGGATCCCAAAGGTGCAGGGACTTGGTTTTTCGTTTTGTGGACAAAGCAGCAAAAGCAGAACTGCACAAACATCCACAATGATTTCACGCAGTGCATCATGCATTATCAACCTTCGTTTCTTGATCAATGCTCTGCACATAGCTCAGTCTAGTTCAGATCACAGAGAGCGTAGGTTCAATGACATATCATTGGGGCCCTGCGGCCTCACCATTAATTCCTTTCTGATGCCCTTCAATCCCTTAGCAAACTCCAAGGGTCCAGCACATATTCGAAGGATGAGATGACAAAGCCTGTGGGAAAGGACAACACCCTTAAAGACTGTGAGAGCATCGAGCAAGAAAGTGCCACACAATGCACTTCCATGGATTTGTGCTTCACGGCTGCATCTTGGAGGACATATGCAGCCATGGGGCACCCTAACACGAAGCAGCTTCCATCGTGTCTTGGCACTTGCTATGAACTTCTCACTTGTTCTCTGCAAATACCTTGTCTGTTGTGCAAAGAATTCTGGGCATCTTTCTTGGTTTCGTGACAAAACTGGTCAGATGTGCCTGCACACAAATCGTACATACTGTCTGATGTACTGATGAGTCAATCCACGATGCATGTTAACTCCGGGGTGTTGCAGCCAGGGAATATATAGAAGATTAATGCAGCTCATAAACTTTGTCAATGTAGTTCCCATTTTTCACTCAGGGTGCACACGTAGAGGATCCTCAGAATCACATTGCTTGAGTAGATCTGGCGTTGCACCTGACAGACGATGACAGGTCTAAACCACACACGTTGTTTGTTTGTAAGCATTTAGTTATGCTTGCCTGTCCTTCCTGTACCTGATGTACATGATGCAAGTACATAATGCACATGGCATGCACTGCTCCAATGAGCACTGTCCCTGGGTATTAGTGACAATAGGTATCGCTATCAAAGGATAACACAGGATACACCACTGTGGCCTTGAGGATCACCTTCTTCATGGCAGCATCCACTTCAGTGCAGCCATAACCTTCTTTCCTGGCCAATTCTCTGCTGTGAACTTTGTGCAGCATACAATGTGCACCCAAACCAGAACACAGCACTTACAGAATTCAGAATTCTGAACAGAATTCTGAACACTGAACAGAATTCTGAACACTCAACAGAATTCTGAAATCTGAACAGAATTCTGAATAGAACTTTCAATAGAATTCTGCCAGCCATCAGCAGTTTGCTGCCGATATCAACAATCTGTCCTTTGTACACGTGTGGAAGCAGCTCCCAACGAACACACTGCAGGAAGGTATGCTTCTTAGAGTGGAGGTTGTAGCTTAGCATTATAGCTTAGCTTTGTATCTGCTGTGATTGGAACTGAAACTATCAAAAATTGGACAAGTACAGAAACGACAAGTAGCAACTTCAATGAATCCAGAAAAGGAAGTATTGAAGCTAAATATTGCAAAATCACAAAACGAAAGAGCATGAAGATTCGCTGGATTTTGTGACTCAGCAGAGATTGATGAGCGTCCCTGCACAGATTTGTGGAATGTGCACATCGCTGGACAGCATAGGGCGGAAATGTGTGGATGAATTAGGCAGGGACTCGTTGCTCTTTGACAAATACGTGCCCAAGCCTGGCACACATGAGTGCATGACATTCCACCAACCTGAATTCAACCTCGTTGTGCCATTCCACCTTCCTACGGTGGAACTCGTCATAAATCTCCACCAGGCTCAGCAGAACATTGTTGAGGAACTTCAGGTGCAGCACTGGGTCAAACCGGTCAACAGCGTCGAATTGCTCCTGGCCCTGCTGCAGTGCCATGGGGCTGCGCAACTGCTCGTCCGCCCAAATTAGGAACCGACCAATTTCTTCATACACCATCACTGCAAACTCGTCCTGCAAGGACAAGTTGGACTATTGTCATGCACATGATTTGAACCTGAACACATCGCCTTCATTTATTGAAGATTCAAATTACTTTATCGTGATTAGTAACTGATCTGTTGATGGATTTTGGCTAGGGTGACCAGGCTGGACTTCGAACAAGATAGTGAGCGCCAAGTAAACATTCTTCTGGACTCCACAGCATCACAGTACTTTGAAGGGGGGAAGGGGGGGGGGGCTAGGTCCCGTGGGCGTGTAATTCAAATTACTACATCATGATTATCAGCGATCTGTTGATGGATTTTGGAAAGGGGGGCCAGGCTGGACTTGGACTACGATAGTGAAAGCCATGCATTCGTGGTTCAAACTTTTTTATTATGATTGGCAACTTATCTGTTGATGGATTTTGGCAAAGGGGAATAGGCTGGACTTCGAACACAATAGTGAGAGCCAAGTAAACATTTTTCTGGACCCCAGAATATCGCAATACTTTGAAGAACCCAGGTGTAGGTCCCATACTCATTGAAGGTATGTCAGACATATGCCATCTCACAAAGTAGTGCAAGGGGATGTGAAGCCCAAAAGATTGATCATATGAACCCAAGTGTACTTGTGATCGATGGCAATGGCCATGCACATTTCACCATACAAGGATGTGGCAATTCCCATGCTCATCGCAACATGAATTCAAAACTCATGGTCCTGAAAAGACCAACGCAAATTGCTAAAGCAAGCTGAACTGATATTATTCCTTGCACTGTGCATTGAGCCACATAAAGCAGGCCACCTGTTGCACAGTTGACCCTTGAACACCACAAATTGGGCGTAGGCACCACTGGCACCTCATGTTTTGTCGGGAAACAGCAAACACTGTTCAACACCAAAACGGCATGAAATTCTGCTCTGTTTCATTTGTCAAGAGATGGCTATGCAACGCCTATGAATTTGAAGTTGAAAGTGGGCACCCAACATGTGCTCGTGTAACATGTGCTTGAGACATGGCATCCTGATAAGGTGCTGTGCAGCAGAACGCACACCTGCACACAGGATCTGCTACTGCAGTCAAATGCTGTCAGCACCCTTGTAAAACACCAAACAAGATTGTCTAAAGAATCAAGGATTTGACAAGACAGATAAATAAAAATAAGGTCCTCAGGTTATAAGCTTCTGGACCTTTGGAGGAAAAAACTGGTGATTGGGTCTAGTCCTGCAAGCACACTGCACTGGCTAGACACAAGGTTTTGGATATACTGTATCTACTATAGAAACCAACATGCAACAAGCTGCAACATAACAGCGCTAAGGGCATTCTAAAACATGGATATGCAACAACATGGACAAGGTCATCACAGTGCCTCACCATCCAGTGCTGGACGGACATGTCCTTGGCGATGGCGCGGTACCTATCCCACAGGTAATTTGCACGGTTGGCAACGGACTCGTCCTTCAAGTCCATCACAACACGAAGCCTGTCCATCGACTTAGCTATTCCCTCCTTGTTCCTCACGAACTCAGGACTGTTGTTGTACTCGTCAAAGATCCGATAATGCTTCTTCACAAACAGGCTGGAGTCTGCAGGGCTGCTCCCACGCTCGAATTTCTGGGGTTCAAATCCGGTTGATAAAAATTCAGTGACAACGCATGCTACCCTCCAATGCATGCTGTTTCTGTTGCACCAGAGAGTGAGGCAGCACATTCTACGCTTTGGAAAGCAGCCTTGGAACATCTTGCTTGGGGCAGTAGGGGGCCCAGTAGCAGGGTAGAGGCGATTGTGCAAATAAACCAGCTAACAGATTCAGTGCAAACCCCCAAGTCCTGCAGCAGCCCTATAGCCAAGCCTTTGTGCACAGATGCTTCCCAGCAGGAAAAATCTACACAACACTCAAAAGAGCGGTTGGCAAGATCTTGCAAGCTCCGTCCGATCACGACGAGTGCCACAGCGCTCTCCACCGATTCTGAGACCAGCAGGCATGCTAGGGAGAAAGCCGCCAAACAGCACATGGCGCTGCCAGAATAGGGTCATGGCACTTCCCCGTCCAGATGTCGAAAAATCGTCAATCAACCGCAACCACGACGGCAACCGCACTGATCTGCTTCCCTCTTTTCCCTTTGCGTCTGAGTCGTTTTCGAGCACCGCCCAACGCTCAGGCACCTCGTGGCGCAAATCCGCGCCTTTCCCAAAAGCGCTCCAGAAGCGCAAGCAAAAGGATGTCAATGGCGCCGCTCAACTCCACAGCGCTGGCGCCCAAACCATTCCAATCGCTGCAAATGCTGCCCCCGCGAAGGGCCACTCACGTGCACTTGGCGGTGGCTCAGCCGCTCCTGGACCTCCGACGGCGGGCACATCGCGGAGCACGTCCCCACCAGGTAGGCGTCCAGCCTGCCGTTCTGCCCGGCCTGGGCCGGGAAGGAATTCATCCTGCGAGGCCGCTGGCGATCGGCCCAGCAGCGCCGGACGTGTGAGCACACTTTCCCAAATTCAATCGGGCTGGCAACAGCCCGTTTTTTTCAATTAGTGGCCTGCCCTTCCGCTAACAACCCTCGGTTTTTTACTCTTGGCCCTTTAGTCTACGGCATCCAGTCTGCACTCATCCAGGATACCCCAGTTTGTTCAACCTGGGCACAGGGCGACCCCCTCGCAGTTGCTTCCCGTGAATGGTCCACTCCGGGAATGTCCCCCGGCAGCGGCCGGCCGTGGCGGCCAGCGGACGCCGTCCGCGGTGCCTGGGGAGTCAGGTGCAATTGCCGCACGGGAGGCGGGCCTCGTCCGCTGAGCCCAGTCTTCAGATGCCAACTGGGGCCGGAAAGTGTTGGATCGTGGGCTCGGGTCCAGGCTCGAAGGACTACTTGACGGTGAGCGGGTGAAAGCTGCATTTGAACGAGCACAAGCTCTAAACTGTGGGGATAGGTGCGTGCCAAGACGTTCAGGATAGAGAATTGGAGTTGGATGGAAGGATAGTCACGCTGAGTATTTGATTGGAGCGACGAATTGCTACTTGGCGCGAGAAGTTATGTGTGGCCCTCTGCTGCAGCATTGCCGCTTCTTTTAGCTGATGAGGGCGTGTGAATGCGCATTGAGCGAATTTACCTAGGCAATCAGCATTTTTTGGTGCAACATATATTTGCCAATGTTCTGTTTGTGTTTAATGTTCTTGACAAGAATATACGTGGCCAAACATTGATCTTTCACCTAGTTGCCTTGGTAAGACAAAACGGTGGGCATTCCACCTCACTGGCGATCACCAGGACACATTCAAACAGTTGCTTGCACCTCGTTCTTTTCATCGGTCTCCACACCTCCAACGTATACAAACACTGGGCTAAGCGAAAACAAGATGAAGAAAGAACATGTCTTTGAGGATATATCCTTGTCCCAGAACAGCAAAATGATTACGAATGAATGCCCTCCACTGCCTTTGAAAATTTTAGTGAGTTCCAGCAAATGATAAATGTGCTTGTGCTTGTCCGATGCACAGTGCTGAAGGGTGTTTTGAGCCGTGCATGGGCATTGTGGAAATGCACGTTGTGGAGATCAAAGAGCCTGTCATCGGCCTGTAGGTACACTGGCCTCGATTAGTCCTGGGGACGAATGCAGTTAAAGAGAATTCCGCCTTGCCCAACTCTGATCTAAATAATCTCGTGGGCTGTGTCTGAAGTATAAATTCCAATATGTTAGTTCGATCCAAGTTCTTCTCACAACATCTTGTTGCCTCCAGTGGCATGTGTGCATTCGATCTTTTTTTTTATTCGATGCCTGCCATATGAATGCTCCATAATACACACTGCAGTTCCTGCATTACTTCCCATGTTCCTGCACTAATGCACGTTTTGCCTGCAGGAACGTTGGTGCAGGTGTTTCCATGTTGTGCAAACAGGCAGTGTGCTGAACCATGGTGAATGGGGAACAAACGCACTACCAAAGGATCTTGGAATTGCTCTGTACTGCCAGCAGCCGTGATTGAATCGAAATCGCTTGCACCTATGTCCGCAGCTGAAGGCTGTAGAACTGCTCAAACAGGCAGACGTGGTGGTATACGACGATTTAGCGACGCAGGCAAGTGCTCTTGCGGGTCTATTTGTGGGACTTGCTGTTAGACTATGACTTGAGCAGGCCCCATGGCTTCAGCATTCCTTTTGGGTTGCCCCCCTTTCTTACTTGACACCTACCCCCACCCCACTCTGCCAGACAATGGACAAGATTATAGAATTTTGCAGTGGAAGTGCTCTACTGCTTTCACTTTCGCCTGTTTCAATTCTGTACAACTGGGACTATTTGGAGGGGTTGGAATCGATCGGGGCTGCAGGATGGCTCTCAGCAAATCTGCTTGTGTGTGTGCTGCGATGGACCAAAGGATGCGTGAATTGTCTGCCTGTGCATTCGACACACTGTTGAAACCAAATGTACACAACCATGCTGTAGCATTGGGCGACTCAGTGGGAATGTGAACAGAATATCACTTGGCCAGAACAGCAGTATCTGAAGCCTATTTGTGCCCACTGCAGGACATTCAAGAATTTTGCCAAGATTCTGCTGACCTCATTTATGTTGGAAAGCGTGGAGGCAAGGCATCCACACCACAGTTGGAAATTAGCCAGTTGCTGGTGGAACAATGTCAACAGGTACATCTGATGCTAATGAGGCCAACCGCCCTTTGCTTCCACTCGTTTTGTGTCAGGTGGTTTTGATTCTGCCTGGCTGGCACCCCAAATCAACAATTATTTTTTGAGATGTACTTCTGCATAGTTTATCTTTGCATGAATTATGAAGTATGGACTACAAAAGAATGAGCTACAAAACTGTTGGCATTTGCAGGGACTGCATGTTGTGCGCCTCAAGGGCGGCTGCCCATCGACATTCTCTCGGGTGTGGGATGAGATCCAGGCCCTCGATCGTGCTGGTGCACAGTGGGAAATGATTCCTGGTGTTTCATCGGCACTGGCAGGCCCTGTCCTTGCAGGTGTGCGAAGCGCACCAAGTGCAGTCCTGTTGCCCATGTGGTCTGGAAAGAAACATGAAAGCACTGTGCAATTGGTTGTATTCTTCTCATGTGGTGGTTGACCGCTGATCTTGCAGTGGAAATGCATTCTGTAATCGATAAGCAGCATGGCACAAGTCTGTGCATTAACTCACAAGGGCTTTGTGTGAGGGATAGCTAAATCCACCAGTTCACCTTTGCAAAACCCTGACAGTGACTGGGAAACAGGATCCTTCACAGGGCCCATATTGTGTCATTCAGGTACACACTGTGTACCACACAGTGACTGGCGGTCACTGGTTAGCAATTGTTCCAAGGCATCGGTGTTTCATGTGTGGTATCTAATATTCTTTGTTTCCTTCCGCTCTGTTGCTGTCCCAGGTATGCCACTAACGGACACCCACTTGAGCAAGAGCTATGCAGTGGTCAGTGGGCACGATCTGTCACAGTATGATTGGGCAGCCCTGAAGGCAGTGGACACGTTGGTGGTAATGATGGGGTCAAGGTCCTTGCCGCAACTTATTGATGTGTTGAGGGAGGGTGGATGGCCACCCGATGCCAAGGTGAACGAAGCACTGTGCTACACTTTTACGTGCCAGCCAGAGATGATGCGTTTGAAAATCCAGTTCCGCTGCATTGGTCAGTGATAAATTGCGGCACCAGATCAGACTGGGGGACAAATTGTCACACCAGACCGGACACTGGTCCTGGACAAACAAGTTGAAGCTTGTCATGTTTACATCCAAGTGTTTCCTTCCCATAACAGACGCAAACATTTTGCACAAACTGTCCCTATTGGCATCTGGCCAGAAGCAAGAACTCAGACCTTCAGACAGAAATTGGAATTACCGCAATTTTCATGCTTTGAGTGGACCTTTGTTTCTTTGAGTACAGTGCCAGGTGCCCTATGACATTTAGCTGAATTTTGTAGTTCACTTGGAAACCTGCGGCCCATACGGTTTAGCACAAATGCACAGCCGCATTCAGTGTTGTGAGAATTTTAAAGGAAACCCAGCCAGCCTACCATTTGTTGGTGCGCGACTGAAGACCGGGCAGAAAACCAGACTGCCATTGCACCGCACTGATCAGTGCTCGCCTGAACCTCTGCATGCAGATTGCTATCATCCACTCAGCATCCCGGGATGGCCAAGACGAACTCTATGGCGACCTGCAAGATATCGTCGGAAAGACAAATGGCCGGGACTTGTCCCCCTCCATCATCGTTGTGGGCGGTGCAGTGGCACTGACACACCCAGGGCACCAGTCATTCAGGCCACAGCTGCAACAGATGATGCCGAACTGAGTGCCAGATATGGAGCCTCTTCCAGTACCTTCTGGTTGCCCCCTCTGCAGCCTGCCTCGTTGCTGCAGGTCCAGTGCACTCCATTGGATCATCGGCTGCAAGAATTTATGCGATCCCTTGGATCCCTTGCATGTATCAGATGCTTGCTATAATCTGGCTCAAATGGGAGCACTATGCCATTGGAATTTGGCGACCATTGTTCACTGCTCACTGGCTGTACCACAAGAGTGCAGAATGGCATGTGCCCAAAGGTGGACCTGCGCTGAGCAGGTGATCAGTCTAACAATGATGGGTGAGGAGGAGACAGTCCCTTGAATCTCCCAATTACAGCCATCATGACGGCCATGGTGCTTGTTAAGCAACGGACATGCCCCTCCCTGCTTGCAACACACAACATCGTGTGCGACCAAGGGTGATCTACTGCAGCACCGTATTGACATGTGCGCTGCAGGCGCCACATGACCATCCATGCGTTCTGGTGGCAACTTTCGTTATGATCGAGATAGCTGGTGCCTGGAGGAGCACGTTGGGTCCTCTTGTCACTATAACGTTCGCCTGTAGCATGTGGCGCGTCAGCCAGAGGTCTTCTTGGAAGAAGTCGGCACGTTGGCAGCTCGCCACTTAGAAGGGCTTGTGTGAGAAGGACAATGAACGGCAATGGTAGAACTTGGTGGCTTAAGGCCCCTGTTTTCAGCAACGAGCACAGGGTGAAGGGATCAGAATGCCTGTGCGGCATCATTTGCACGGTGATTGCAGTGTAGTAGTGATCCACGACATTTTGTTTTTGCCCAAACAAAGAACAAGCAGCTCCAGATTGCGTCTGACTCGTTACTGGCGTCCCAGGTGGAAGCGCTGTTGCCTTTTAGTGTCGAAGTGTGCCTACAGGGGGCGATTAACCCCGCTACCCACGCACACTATGTTGGGACGATGCACCGCAGAGAGGAGTCAAAACAACCGAGGCCATGCAGTTCTCTCTGGCCTCAATTGCACCAAGCATTGGTCGAGCTGACATATATTCTGCATTGCATTTTGATGAACTCGGACTGTGGAATTGATGGTTGCCGAATTCCGTGCCCCTGATAACGAATCTGAGGCTGGTCATCAGCTCAATGACCGCTACGATCATGGGCAACTGAGCCCTTCATTTGGAAACACTGCATGCTGGCAACGGGGGCGTACAAGTGTCGGCATAATCCAATGCCGACGGGATCCACGTACTATGCTGCAATGACGGAACTTTCAAGAGGCACAAATGAAGCGAATACCAAACACGCATCGAACACTGTGTTCGCCCGGGCCGTTGGAGCCCAACGGGCTCTCGGCGCAGCGTCCCTGGCGTCCAAGTGGTCATGGGGCACATTCCTTCATGCAACGTGAAGCGAAGTTTAGCCAACCAGCCAGGTGTCAAATGGAGCCAGAAAACGGCGGGGATCGAATGCATAAGCCTGGTTCTGTGTGCTAGGGTAGTGCGAAAACCACTGAAGACAATATCTTCATACGCTTTCAGCATGTATTTTATGAAAACTTGTGACACTATCGCTGGCGGTTTTGGAGTTCAGCTTTCCGGGATCAATGCTGTATTGTTCATGAAAGCAGCGAGCAAGAGCTTGTGCTAACTCATTGCTAACTCATCATCTATCATGAGGGCGTGGCCAACGCCACATTTGCCCACCGCTGGGTTAGCTGCTCAAAGGAACTGCTGCTCCCGTGGTTGGTCCCATGGCTCCAGTTCAGCCGATGAAGCCAAGCATTCATATAGAAACGTGGAATCCTGCCATTGCGCCAATTCCATGTATGCGCCATTACCTGTATGCACTCCGCTTCCCGGAGCCTTTTTATTGTTGGTCGCAGGCTGGCCACGCCAGCAGCCCATCGCGAAATACGTGCAGTCCCTACTTTGGAATAGAAAACCAAAATGTGCTCAAAGTTATAAAATCCTATGGCTCGTTATTATCTGAAATTCAAATGACGACATTCGAAAGGATGGGCCTCACGAACAAAGTTTCAAGGAATCAACGCAAACACAGTTCGCTTTCTTGTGTCACGCAATGGTCAGGTGGCCAATCGATCACGCTCTGATCGATTTGTCAATCGATTCGATAATCTTACCTGCATGCCGGATCTGGGCTTGGTGGCGTGCCATCCAATGGTTTCCCTGGTCCGTTTGCTGACACCATATTCTGATTAGATGTGAGTACCATGAATGCAAACCCAACAGTTCCAGCAATAAAACCGCACTGTCATCATCGCCATCATTTATTTTTATGTAAGAAGGCAATGAGGTAGGCGTCAGCTCCCTATTTTGCGCGAGCAAAAGCAGTGTCTATGATCAGTTCATTGACATCTAATGTTTAACACAAACATCTTATGTTTTCAACACAAACAAAATATATAAATACGTTAGCTCCTAATGCCAAGAAACGCTTGTCGATGACAATACATCAAAAGCAGGGTCCTCGCTAGTTGCCGAGAGGCAACTGAAGGCAAAAGCGTTGTTGCATTGCGATGTCGAAAGAGACTTGAGTGGCTTCACCGAATGTTATTGTAGGCATGGCAGTGTAAAAGAAAGTGTATCTCGTCTTCTGGACCAGAGTGACACAAAGGACATAATCGCCATGGAAATTCTGGAACAGATTGTCGTGCTTGGCAGGCTTGTTACTTACGTTTACGTTTACGTTCTTGCGTTTATGTTTTTCCACGTAAAACGTAAATTTGCAAAGGGGCTATTTTTACGGCTGTATTTACGTTTTTACGGCTCGTTGTGACACCGAGGTACCACGATAAAAATCGCGCACAATGATCAGTCCTCCACCTCCTCGAGCACCCGCAACACAGCGTCGACTTCGCACTCGGTAAGGGCCAAGACGACGTGGAACAAAAGTTCGTTTTCTGCCCATTACAGCGCGTCTGGCTGCTACTCCTAGAAAGCTGTCTGTACTGTCCTTATGTACAAGGGACGGTCTTTACGTTGTATTTACGTATTTTTACGCGTTTTTACGCGTAAGGACGTAAATACGATCTGTGTTTACGGCAATAAATAACAAGCCTGGGGCTTGGTGTCGTTGCTGCTCAACCTCCAGAAAGTGAACTCCACAACGAAATCGCAGGAAAAACGTCCTCAAGGAGATAGGATGTAATGATGACAGGAGTCGTTTGTATCGGGAGACTGGTTTAATGCGTCTATACCATCGTTGAATCCTTGAAAACCCGGTGGAGAAAATGTCTCCATGTTTTCAATACAGGCAATGGGGACGTGTCCATAGATCCGTTGAAAAGACTGTGCATCAGCTAAAACGCACTTTCATTTGCAAATTTACTGTAATAAATTGTAAAGTGTATACTATGACTGCAATATATTTATTTCATACAGTTTTCATTATCGTAGTCTGTTAATCTAATTAGCTTCAACAACAACAATGCTGTCAGTGGAAATGAACTGAAGAACGTGGTGTGGTGGCAAGGCCGCAGCCTCTTGCTGGCCCTCACGGGGCGCGAGCAGGTGAGCGCCAGGCCTCCCCCCGCGCGAGCGGTCCACCAGGCGACCACCACACCTGCAGGGATCCCACGGACTGCGGCGCGGCGGACATGCTGCCGCTCGCTTGGCGCAGCGCCGCCGTGGCCGCCCGCATGGGCACCGGGATCCTCTGCGAGGCATGCGCCAAGGGACAGCTGCGCCTTGGCGCCCGGGAAGGCTGGCAGGCCCTCCCGTGCGCGAATGGCGATCTGTGCGGACTTCAGCTTGCCGGCAAACGGGAGCAGTCTTCGCATTGCGAAGATCACCCACCTGTCGGCATCCGATGGGATCAGACGCACCGGGATCAGCGAGGTGGTGGGCTGCGCACAGGCTTTGGTTCTCGCGCTTCGATTCCCATTTTTGGTGCTGGAACTGGAGAAGGAGCATATGAACACGTTGCGGTGCGCGGCTTGGCTGATGATGCGAAGAGACCAAATGGCATTGGGCAGGGGGAGGGTGATAGGCCGCAGGGCAATGCCGCACCGCCTGCCGACAGGAGGGCTGATGGGGCCGTTGAACAGGGGGAGGAGAGTGTGGGAGTGTCTTTCGGTGTTGATGAGGCCTCAACCCCGCATTTCAGTGGCGGTGACGTCAAGGCGTCGCGAGATACGTCCGCCACTGGGAACTCTGGGGCAGTGGCCGATGGCGTGGGGGCGGGGAACGGCGCTGCGGGGGACCGATCGGAGCAGGGTGCCAGCTCTGAAACCTCCTTGGACGAGGGGAAGAGTGCTGAGGCACGAAGTGAGGGAGGGGAGAGGGGTGGCGTGCACAGTGGAGAGGAAGATGCCAAGGGAGTGGAGGCACCCGCATCTGTGGATGGTGGCGAAGCATCGGCAGAGCTGCCGGCCACTGGGGGTGCCCTGGACGAGAAAGTCAGTTCCAGCACGGAGGAAGGGGGATGGAAAGCAGGTGCAACTCCAGAGGGGAAGCTAAATGCCGTGGGCTTGAAGGGGCCCACAGAAGTGACCAGCCAAGAGCCAGGTTCGGGTGAAAGTGGAGAAGCTGGCAGACTGGCCGAACTCGAGGGCCGGCCTTCGAAACCGGAGAACGAGAACCGATCGGAAGGAACCCATCACAATTTTGTCAATGTCGGCGGAGCTGCAGGCGCCATGCCTGCGCATGTCCAGACTGGCGGGGGATCGGTTGCAGAGGAGACGATGGAGCAAATCAGGGCACGTGTGTTTGGGTACCATATTGGCAACAACTTGAGGTCAGGGAGGAAGGTGCTCAGGAAGAAGCTTGTGGGCTGGAGGATCGCCAACTACTATCTCGAGGACATCAAGGACCCGCTGTTGCTGGACTTGGATGCAGAAGCGTGAGTGCCGCAGCCCCTCAGCATCAAAGCTGCACAGCATTATGATCGATTTGTTAAACATGTGAGAGCACAATGTCAAGAACAACCACAGATTTGTTTTGTGCATGACAGTCACACTTTCAGCAAGATCCTGGACAAACACCTTGGCGATGAGACAGGGTGAATGGTTGCTGACAGGCAACCAGGCCATTTTTCTGAATTCTGTATCTGCTGGAGTCCAGGCTTGGGTGTCCATTCCTTCAGTTATTGTGCAACCATTCTCAGCATCAAACTTGTCCACAGAACACTGGACACCACTTTTCTTTGTGTTAATCCTGAGCTTGGAGGCCGCTAAGGTGACACAAATAGTAGTGGAGAGCATTGGTGCACATACCAAAATTTGGTTGTCGGTATATGGTGAATCGTGAAGTGATAATCTGCAAGGTTGAGCTGTGATGATCTGGTGGGTTTGCACTTGTTCATCATCAAGTGCACAGTGCCTTACAGTACCACTTAATAATGACACTGCCATGTGTTTGGTGCTGGAGAACAGGCAACAATTGATTCGGTCACTGGTGAACAGCTGCAATTGTTCCATGAATTGTGTTGTATCGATTGTATTACTCCCGTTTTTTCTCTGGTTGTGCGGCCCAACATGAGCCCAAGGCCTGGCTGCTTGCCATATTGACCTTAGCCAGCACAGCGAGAACAATAAACCCACCTGCTGTACTGTGCTGTCGCTTTTTCCTTTAATTTCTAGTATTTGCATCACACCTGGACGTTGGGTGGGGCTCAAAATGATGTACAACAAAGAACTAAGGTAAAGCACCATGCAGAAGCATCCATTCACAATGGAAGCTGCCTGACAAATGGTGGACCAGGCTCGAGAATGGCGCTTAACCGGCTTGAAGATCGAATTTCATGTACTGTGCATGCTCCTGCCAGTCAGTCAATCAAAGTTCGCGTCACAAATAGTGCATTAACAGCATCTGGGCTTTGGCGCAGCGAACTGCTCGGCTGAACGATTCAATGTCCTTGCTTGCAGGGCGAAAGAAAAGCTGGCTCAGATGCGCAGGCGAGGAAAGGGACCACCGAAAAAGGGAGAAGGGAAGCGGGCGAAGACCGGCAAGGCTAAGGGCAAATGATGACATGGGCAGCAAGTTGCCCGTTAAGAGAGCTGGACGTGTCTTCCAGTGGGACTGACTGGGGTACACTTCCGACGCGGCTTATATAGCTTCCATGCCAACAATTTGAACTGAACAGCAGGTGCAATGACACCTTGAACACAATTCTGACCCAGCCTGGCCCATCGCCGGCTGTGAACCCTTCGCCACTTTTTTCCTGCCAAAATTTCGATGATGACATTCCTGCCCTCGTGGCACTGATTGGCTTCTTCATTTCGGAGAACGAATAAGTTGTCATATACCACTGCACAGAGGATGCGAAATGGATGCAAAGCACTCTTTCTATGCAACAAAAGCAATACGAAATGAATGTGCTCAATTCGCTGAGCAAGTCGCAAGGTCACCTTGCCAAGGTGAACTGGGCAGTGGGTCAACCATAGCTGCAAATACGCGCAATTGGGTATCTTTCAGAGCTTCTGCAAAGCGAGGGAACACACACTTGCAATGTTTGCTGTACATTTTGCTGTTATAGATGATTGTTGCGCAGTTGCATGTTGCACTTGATAGCGGCACCATTTAGATGACACCATTTCCATTTTTTCCCTGACAACGGCGCTCGAACAAAAGAGTAGAAATGAAGTGCGAATGCATCGGCACTCGCCAATCCCCGCAAATAGAAGTGCACGCGTTCGACGCCATCGTCGCGCTCTGCTGCCCACGCAGCGTTTGGGGCATCGAGGAGTGGCAACAGCGCGTCCAGCCACCTTTTTCAGGCCACATGGGCGTCCCAGTTTTCAACGATCCGTTGGCCAAGATGGATCCCTGCAACTCGCCAGATGACTCGATTAAGAGCGAAAGGATGTTCCCAAGACAACGTCCGTCTGAATCCGTCATTCGCTTCAGCCGATTCCAAATGCCCTTCAATCGCCCCAGCGCGTTATGCAACGTGCAGTTGCTCGTCGTGTATCAGGATTGGAAACCGAATCACTGTGGAGACGCCGTGCACGGCATCGACACAAAAGTAACGACCACCTGCAAAGGCAACGACGCAAACTTGATCTCAGAGTGCGTCTCTACGTGTCGGAACTGCAACGCCCTATTCTGATCCACAACTTTCTGAGTGATGCACTGCGTTGGCATTGAAGCCGGACTTGCAACGTAGCGCACCAAGTCCATTGTTGTGAAAGCGCTTTGACTCAAGCTAAGTTCGCTCATAGTTTCCTGCATTTAGCGGCAATAGCAGGCTGTAGTTTAGGGTGCTCTGCTTACCTGCGCCATGCGCATCGCAGTGCCTGGGCCTTCGCTTCCAGAGTGTCCTTGTTGCTTAGGTTTGGCTACATCGGTCAGGTCGTTTGCGCTGCCATTGGTCTTTCCTGGTATTTGCATCCGTGGCCGTTGGCATTGGCATGCACTTGGTGGCTGCCCCGGTGGGTCAAACGTTCCTTGGAGGCGTCCCGTCTGCCAGTGCGATTGCTCCTCTGGGCTTGTGAGTGGACTGCTCTAAACCGATTGCCACCACTGTAGTTCCCACGCCCGCCACGTCTATTCCGCCATTCGCCGTAGCCATACTTACCTGCGTCTCCTCGAAGGTCACCTAGTTGGCGGGGGCACTGCCTTGCTCATGTTAGCACCTATTGCGTGAGGGATTCGATGGGGAGTGTCACGTCGTTGTTCCCGCTTTCATCATGGGCCCCAAATATGTAGCGGAAAGGGAGGGTGGCGCAGCTCCTTGAGATTGAAGCGTGCCTAGTGTGACACCGGTGGTGTCTGCTCGGGCTGTGACATGAGGCAATAAAGTTGAGATTGGAGCAAGTGCTCGCCTGGATGCGCACTGTCGTGCGAGAAGAGGATATTAAGTAGATGAAGAAATCAGAATGATAGTTGTATGTTTAGTTATTTACCTATGAACTTATTATTTTCCTTGTTTATCTATGTACTTACATCTTTATATATTTATTCATTCATGCGCTTATTTCCCATACGTAAGTCTGTATTATCGCATGACACATCTTCGTCTTTTGATTGCTCACTCTGTGAAATCATCGAGCAGAAAACAGCACCTCCATTCAAATCACGTTCTCCCAGTCATTCATGCAATCCAATATTAAACGGCAATTCCGCGACTTGCCGAGCATCAAGCCTCTGAGCCTGAGCGACGCAGGAAAATGGCGCCAAATTCCTGTATGCCGCCGCTCACCTTGGCCACTTTGCAGCGCCGCTATGGCGGTGGCGACTCTGGCGATCGCCAAGGAGGCCCGGAATGGCCCCCGCGGCGGCAGCTCTGCATCAAGGCAGCACTTCCTCGAGGGAACTCTGCACCGAGTCAAACACGAAGTCAAACGTCGCCTGCGAACACGCACTGGCCAACTCGCGGCGACACGGCGACTCTCTCCGCGGGCAGGCCGCCGACCGTGCGCGAGCTTGTCGGAAGCTTATAACGATAATATATACCGATACATACCGATACGAGCATCTGTTAAACGTGGGCGGCCCTCGAGCGCAAAAGTTGAGCACAGGCCAAGGACGCGTCGCGTGCGCTTCGGAGCCTCGCCGAGCCTCACCGCACCTGCGCGGAGCCGCCTCCGTCACGGCGAGGCAGCCTGCCCTGCCGTCTCGGAGTGTAGACTTCAGAACGGGGAAGTCGTCAGAATGGGGGGGAGGGGAGACGGTCGGGAGCAGGACTGCCACTGAAGGGAGAGGCGAATTTATACGGCAAAGCGGCGGAACCGCCGGCGACAATTTAACCGGGGGGCGGGGCTTGTTTGAAATACATACGGCCGGTCAAGGGCCGCCCGGGGCACGTGCCCTTGTTGCGTCAATGCACCTCGACGCACCGCCTGGGAAGGCGTTCGGTCACGAGGTGCCCCACACTCGGTGCATCGTCAGGGATGAGTCATTGTTGATGAATAATATAAATAAAAATGTGGGGGCAGAGAAAATACCGTGTGGTGACAGCCGGATATATCCGTCGAAGCCACTCAAGTATTTTCCGATGTCGCAATGCAGAAACACATTTTGCTTCGGTTCCTGCTCGCCAACTGCCGAGGACAATTCTTTTGATGTATTTCATCGACAATCGCTTCTTCATATTAAGAAATATTAGATTCATAAATTTGTTGTTTTTTAACATTGGATTCAATGGACTCATCATATACACTGCTTTGCGGCATAGAATTACTGGCCGCACCAAATCGTTAACTTTCTGCACTAAATCGGTGACTGCTTGCACCTAATCCCTCTAAAACTTACCTAACCTGAAACTAAACCTGCCCTAAACCTAAGCCTTACCCTAAAACTAAGCCTACCCCTAAAACTGAGGTTAGGGCACAGTGTGCATGTGATTTGGTGCAGGCAGTCACCGATTTGGTGCCGGCAGTAATCGAATGATTTTACCCCCTTTTTGGTACTTCCGCTGTCCTGAATTATTTATCCTCTATTTAAGAAACAAATTTCATTAGAAAAGCCGGCCTCAAATTCACAGAAGAAGCTCAAAATCGGGAATGTTGGGTCCAAAATCTGACCTCCCAAATCTCAAGAAGAAAAGTGGGATAATACCCCTTTGAGCGTTGGTGGAAGGCAAGTTTTGGTCAGTTTGACCGAAAAGATGAAGGTTTACTGGTTAAAATACCCTTGATACAAAGCACTGCCAATCCTCAATACTTTACGGGTTGGCTTGATTTCCTGACCGCACACTACAAGCACATATGCCCAGCCTTGGTAGACGTTTCATGGTAAATCGAAGATTCCATGATAGAGAAGTAGGAGGCCAAAATCGCAGAGGACATTTAATTCAGGACAGAATGCAGTTTTAAACATCCCTGCAGTTCATGTACTTGGGAGGTGGTGGATGGGATGTTCAAAATGGGGTGGACTCGTGAAAACATACGCAATGCTTTCCGGATTTGCGAGTATCGTTCGGTGTGGTTGCGGCGATGCCCCATCAATCAATCTACTTTCTGCTGGTGCCGCACATTGACCCCCGCCACGGCCTCCATTATCCAGGAGACACTTTGAGATGGGCGCCCAGTCGGGTTCCCATTTATCCCACCAAGGGTGGATCCTAATGCGGCGTCGGCATGCATACTGACGTTGGAGTTGGCTGGGCGTGACGTCACTTTGGCGCCAAGCCTGGTGGATCAACCCAGTGTCACCGCTCGTTGTCGCGCGATTCTGCACCCGTTCTACGGCGAGCCGCCAGATTGCGTACACCATGGGAAAGGATCGACTGACCACCTGGTGGGGAAGCTCGCGGACGCCCTCTCAGAGACTGCCACCATTCAAGGTGAACGGCCAGCAGCACATTCGCAAGTGCGTGAGGTCGAGGACGGCGGGCAGCAGTTCATGCCATGATGCGCACGGCGTTCTAATGGTGCCCAGTAGTCTATCGCCGCAATGAAAACACTATCTGCAACATTGCCGTCTGTCAGTCAACAGACTCAATGTGACAAACACTTCAACAACACCGTGTTGCTTTTCATGTGGACATGTGGACATTCTCGCCAGTCAGCACAGACGTGCCGGTGTCTTGCAACCACAGCGTGGCCCACCGAAGATTCTGCCATTCTTGAGGCAGCACTTGGGGGCCACACCTAAGCTGGGGCTCACGTGTTGCGACCTTGAGAGCAACAGCGCTGATTTCGGCCGGCGCAAGGCCAGATGTTCCTATTTGCACAACCACATGGCAAAACCACCTTATCTTCAAGCAACACTTTCCTGTGTCCTGAAAATGTTTGGCAAAGCAACCTGCATTGGCGCCAAAATGCCCAACACATTTGCAAAGCCAACTTTACTACGGGCAACATCCAGCGGGCTTCACAGAAGTGAACACGCTGTGCAGTTGCCTGTGCAGTTCGATCAATGATAATACGATAAACAATGAAAAATAGAAAACAACAAAATGCAAACCCTGCCACGATGCTGCACAGACTCAGCACCAGCCCGCCCTCAAAGCTCTTTTACAATCCGCTCCATGTGGATGTCTGTACACGGTTACCACAAAAAATGCGAGTGCCCCATTGCACACAACGGCCCACTGCCACACTGGCAGCTCAGGGCCATCAATTCCCAGATCAATAAATGTTCTCTCCCCCCTGCTGCTCAGTTCCATGCGTTGGCAAGCACAGGGGCCCATCCTTGCACGTCCCTTTACAGCCCCAGAACTTCTCTCACAAAACAATCGACCAGATTGCCTCTTCCCCCCGCTATTCATTCCACGCCTCACACGTTGAGCATGAAGCCTCTCCCCCTTCTTTTTTTTCACCTTCCTTCTCCGTCGACCACCAGTTGTATGCGTCACAAACGGGTGCGAATGGAGATATGAACGAATGATGGGCAAACGCATGTCTTGAATGCGCATGCACACTTCGCTGGCAGCAGGGTGCAAGAACCTCACGTTATCCTGTGAAAGCAAATACTGCACAAGGCAGTCGGCCTGTACCCTCTGCACGAACTGCTGGCCAAAGCTGCCACTCGCCACACGGTCAGTACCCAAACCCGTGGATAAGGTTCTTGCTGTGTCTTCAACGCCACATTCAGCAATACTTCCCACAAGTATCGTACAAAAGGTCCACGCACATTAATCGCACAGTATTCTTACGTGCTGAACTGTTCAAGATATACAGATGTGCCTATCACGAACAGTCGCCAGAGGGCGGCCAACGTCGTTTTGCCACTCGGGCACGAGTGACCCTAGCGACTGCCCCAGTCATCGTCAAGGGGCCGCTTGCTGTTCAGTGAAGCGGCCAATTCAGAAGGAAAAGGCAGGTGCCCTGTGTTTCTCATGGCGACCACCACAGCCTTGACTTCCCGTGTGTTCCGGAAGAGCTCATGGGAGTCCACGATAGCGATCATGACCTGTGGAATTGGCCACCCAATCAGTTGTCAGGGAGGTGTGCACAGATGACACTGCTGATTGGCAGGAAGGGGTGCGCCACTATAGGGCGAGAATGGTAGGTCGTCAAGTACACAGTTCTCCATATATCATGTTCTTTTACATTAATAAAAAATCGGGCATAGGATTGGGGTCAATATATCCGTTGGGAATATGCAACAGCAGGTCCGAATGGCCCCAAGATGAACTCTACAGCGATTGATCTGAATGTTTTTTACAGACAAACAATCAAATTCTGCAAACAAGAGGGTTCTTGTACCTGCTCGTTGATGGCCAGGGCTAAAATGCAGCCACACTGCTGCACTGTGAACACTACCACGTACAACAGCAGCACACAGTGCACATGCTGCACTCATATCATCTCACAGGAAGCATCACAATTGCATCCTTCTCTCAACGAACACTTGTATATTTTGCTTGCATTCGTCCCTGTTGTTCGCATGTTATCCCATCTAGGCTGCCTGTGTATGACCTATTTTCGACACGCCAGTGGCTACTATGTTGTTACATGGCATTCACCAGACTGCCACTGAAATAGGGCATTCATGCTGTCGCTGTACATGAGTCACTAAAACCTGCTAAACACGTGCATCCAGGAAGAACTCTAAGCAACATTGATAATTTGGGAAACACAGATATCAGGACCAAAGATCCCCTGCATTGCCCCGCCACTGGTTGAGCTGCAGCTGTGACTACTGCTGACAGACACTTCAACATATGCCTGGACTACCCCACATAAAGATCCACACATTGTCTTTGCCATGAAGATCTGCACATTTTCTCTCACATGGTTCTTTGCTCACCTCTGTATACCCTTCTGCCTCAAGGTTGTCACTGAAGCGCTGTGCATCATCCTGGTTTTGAAAGGCCACAACACCGTCCAGCACCTCCCCAACACTCAAGAACTCGTCTGCAGAGCTGCCTCGGAACATCTGCACACATACCAACAACAGCACCACTGAGGCACTTCGATTATTCGAGTACTGTACGACACTGCAAGGGTATGTATTTCGCACACTGAGGGTGCAAAACTAAAGATGCAGCAGCCAATGTCAGCAGTGCATTCTCTTCCACACACTGGTGCGTCACTTGCTTTTTCACTTCGTTTTTGCTGCGATTTGCAAGTCAACACAACAATGACCACCAAAATTGTGTGTCCAGCTGAGATCCGTTCTTTGCTCTGTGCATTAAAGACTCAGTTTGTCACAGGTGAACTTTCCCTATGGCCTGAGCCTCTTTTTACCCTTGCTTCAATTGTCAGTGTGACTTGCAATGTCTTCAGAACAAAACAATAAGCAGAAGAAACACTGCAAGCCCAGAGGCACTGAAGAGTTTCCAGTTCTGAGCTTTCTGGCTTTCTAGTTCCTGGTTCTCCTTGTTAAAGTATTCCACTTTCAAGCTGGAACTGGAGACAGCATTCAGGGCACGACTCCTGAGGCAACCAACAGTGCCTGTCATCACCCTGAAGGTGCTTCCTCAAGCACGTAATCAAAACAGAATTCTGCACGAAATCGCAATGCAGTAGCCATGTGCCCGTGACACACCTGTGCGAGCTCTGCTGCTGTGTCGTCCCTCCATACTCTTGTCCTCAGGGTATAGGTCATCGGCTCCTCCCTGTTTGGCTGCCTGAAGGCCAGGACGTAGAGAGGGCGGGGAGCAACCCATGGGCAGCCTTCCAGTATCTGTCAATAACAGGCAGCAGTACACGCATAAGCCACAGATCTTGGCTACTTTGGGCTGACACCAGTCCATGTGAACAGCAGCTGACATTGATGTGGACAGGTACTGGTGGTCATAATTTGATCATGTAGACAACTATTGCACATAGTTCAGAAAGCTGGCTCAGTGGCCCCTAGACATGGACAAGGCAATTGAGCACTTTGTGGAACTTTCCAACCACTTCAAACAAGTGGCCACTTTATACTGTCTCAAGTTTGTCTGGTTTTGAGCACTGCTCTTCTTTCTCTCTTCCAGCCAACAGCACTGAGAGCACTTTGCTGGTGGGCAGGAAATGAAACATCTTGTGAACAAGCACACGGGGAAACAGACAACACCAAGCAACATCCAACCAGGTGCAAGTGCATTGCTGTGTTTTGCAACGACCATTGTGCTCAGAGCAGATTCCAAGCACAAGAGAACACAAGCGTGAGAACACACAGAACACAAGCCTTGTCAGTACATGGTGCACTCCATGCAGACTCAGGTATAAGATACAACACGTTGGGGCAGCAGCACATTTGGCACTGGCATTAGTTGGCCATGGTGCCCACCTATCTGTGTTCAACTCCTGGTGGATGACAAACTGCAGAACAGTTCTCTGTTCAAATAAACCAAATGTTCCATTGATTTGCCAATGACAATTACCAGGCGACACCACTGGTCAGCCAGCAAAGACACCTGCTGGGAAGTTTACCCGTTCCACAGCAGCCATGCCCTTGAGACCTTAATCTACCAGTTGCTCGTTTTCACTCGTCTCCCAAACTCCTAAGAAATCGATCGGGTTCTGTACAAAAGCGCATCGTTTCCTGCACACCTCGTAGCTGTCCCGGATCCGCTTCTGAAGCTCCCTCTCTGCTGCACGGTACTCCTCAGACCTCAGATACCTCAGCAACTCTGCGGGAGACTCGGGTAATTTCTGACAAGGCACACAGAAAGCAACCTCCTCTGTCACAAAGATTCGAAGCTAAACAACTTAAAATTGGCACCTTGCGCCCTCGCAGGAATACTGGCAACAATGAGCTGGCAGCACGTTGGACTCCATGCCTGCCACTTCTCCCCACGGTAAGGAGTCAAAGCGACACAGCCGACTCGATTGCCTAGACATGAATGCCCTTCGATTACGGCACACTCCCTTCAGCGATCTGGGTGCGGAGGGCTTGCGCGAATCAAGGCAGCCACGGCTTGTGCAGGACAGCGAGGGCCAGCGTCCTTCCCCAATCTCACTCCTTACATCCTCGCCAACCCCGTCAGAAGCGCAGCGGGCACAACGCCGCCCGTTTCCCCCGCAAAATACGCTTGCAACGCCCGACGTGTCGCTCACTCACTGCGACCCGCCGATCAATCCCCCAACCACCACACAAGAACAAGAGCGGCATTACCACGCCAACATCCCGTCGCCAGGCCCCCGGAAGGAGCCGTGCGGCCGAGCGCCGCAGTGCTGTCCCGGACAGCGAAGACGGAGAGTCCCGGACGCGAAAGACGCAGATCCTCACCGATCGCTTCGCCTCCTCCAGCCCCTTCCTCTTCGCCGATTCTCCCGCGTCCCGCAGGGGGACCGAGCCCCACAGGCCGGGCACGTCCCAGCTGAGTTCCCTCTGGTACCCCAGGTGCCCTGCCACCATCCCCCCCCTCTCCTCCTCCGCCCCCTCCACCCGCGGGTACCGGATCCGCCTCACGACGCCGTCCGGGTACCGCAGCACGCGCTCGTGAGCCCGCCTGCGCCTGGACGACCCCGCCTCCTGCTCCTTGGTCATCGCGCGCACCGCCTGCAGCGACCGGCGCCCGCACCGCGGTAGCGCCAGGCCGATCGTCGTCGACGTCTCCGATTGATTCATGGGCCGTCGGCGACGATGCGCGACGGATTGGGCGTATCGGATCTGCTCAGGTGGGGGCAGGGAGGCGGGGAGGGGCGGGGAGGGAGGCCCGGGGGGGCAAGCGCGTGGAGTGGTGAGCGTGGGTGGTTTGCGGCAGGGCGGTTTTCGAGGGGCCAGGGCTCTGCGTGCGGGCGGGCAGCGTGGGGCGGATGAGGATGCCCACGCGCCAGAATGGGTTGACGATGGGTCGACGGGGGTGCTGGTGGCGGTGACACTGGCGTGCGTCATCGTTGCACTTGCAAGTTACGATTGTGTGACGGGGGCAGGTTTGGGTGGATAATGTGGGTGGCACAACATTGGGCGCTCCGCCTTTCCCGTGAACACCCCCTCCTGTTTCGACACCGCGAAACCCAAAAACCACTGCCCTACTGACCCGCGTTGGCCTTGTCAGCGGAAGAAGAAGGGATCCTCGCGGAAACGACAGAGGGGCTAATATATTCTCATGGGGATTCGAGTTCGCCGGTGCGGAGGCGAGGGGCGAGGTACTGGAAGCGCTCCTAATTGCCTTCGGCGAGAGCAAGGGGCGCCCTTGCACCTTGCAGGCGGTGACCGCCGATGGCAGCCAAAACGTTGTGTGTCCCCCGGCCGTTCATTTTATCAGCTGGCCACCCGCGTGGTCAGATTTTAGCTGCATGATTTATGTCCCGAGCGTGGAGAACTTGGCGCGAAGCAGGCAGGGGCCAGTGGCCTTCGATTTTGGAACAACTGCGCGGCATCTGGCCAGTGCTGTAAGCCGTTTTTGGAGAGTTGGGCGAACGGACCCCCTCAACGGCTGGCCAGTCAATGGCTTCGTGTTCAGCATTATTTGAACGTCCATGGCAAGAATGCCCACAGCATCGCAGAATAGTTGCTCGAGCAACGTTTCAAGCAATGTGCGAGAGCATACTTTTCGGCTAAAAGCGGTGCAGATGGTGCACATCAAGGGCGACATTTTAAACGCCATCTCTAATGTCTGATTTGTTTGTGCACCAACCAAATATCACCACCAACAAGACACAGAATGGCACCGACAGCCCATTCTAACCCAAGCCTAAGCCGACGAAAATAAAGACTGGGAAATTTTACAATTCACAGGGTCATACAGGAAGAAAACAAGCCAACAAAGGGTTCTTGGTTCCCTGGGCGCAGCTTGAGACATCCAAATGCTGAATTATATACATATATTCTGCAAAGAAAAATGGTCGATGTCACAGAAAAATACGCGATGAGAAGTGTCATTTGCTGCGTTAGCGTGCCAGGAGCAGGGCAAAACAAAAAAACAACTCTGCGCAGTCAACCAGATATGTTGCAATAGCCATGCCTACACGACTTTCATGGCTTCCTTGGCAGCCGCAATCGTGGCGTCAATGTCGGCGTCTGT